TCATAGAATAACAATGAACTTGCACTTGTTAATATTTTTACTTTATTTTTACTATACGAGGGTACCTAATTTCTTAAATAAAATATAGGTACATCAAAAATTGTTGCATAATTTTTTTATTTTATTTAAATCAGGCATCTCTAATAAATTCATTTCATTGCAAAATATTTTCCGGGCAAACCTATAAAACAAGGATGGGTCGGTATTATTAAAATAACAATTGAAATTCAATGTATGTATGTAGGAATGCCACTTATTTATGTACCTACTCATTGAATTTAAAATAAAACTGCAACAATTTTTCGGTGTTTTTTGCAATATGCGATAAATAATCTCTGTTTTTTGTCACACTAACCCAGTTTATAAACAAATAAGTATTTAAACAAAATTTGTTAAAAAAATTAATTTCTACAAAATTTTCATTTTTTATTAAAAAAATCATTAAATTTTTGGGTCGCCACTGGTTGTTTCTGACGCAAATTATGCTTACACAGTGGGCAATAATCTTTCCTAGAATGTTTTTGTAACCATCTCAGAGTAAAATTAAGAAAAATTTAATTTATTAATTAATTAATTGATTGATTTATTATTACATATAAGCGTTTGTTATATAAATGTGTTTACATAAATACAAAGGTGAATTAGCATAACTAATTGGTAATGTATCAAGCTTAAAAAAATATTTAATGTTTTCTTATAAGAATTTTTTAGTTGCTTTAGTTAAGTAATCTTAAGCGTAGGTCTGGGATATATTAAAAGAGAAAGTTTTAGACATGAAAGATGCTTAAGAATCTGCGACTTCCTATATTTATTTACGGTTTTATGCTTTCTGAAAATATTGATAAAAAAATATTAAAAAAGTATTTTTGGGTTACTAAATAACTTTAATACACAAAGTATCCTTCTAGTTTTTGAATTATGAATTTTAAGATTTATTCTATTTATAAGATACAAATTATATTTTGTCAACATACCTACCACATAAACATCTTTCCAAATATTTGTATTACTTTGTAAATTTCACAAAAACCTACACAACCTATATCTACAAATCAAATAATTAAAATTCTTCCGAATGATTTATGGTTCAATAAAAAATATATACGAATCTATCTTTTAAAGTAGTTCATAGGTGAAATGAATAAAACATTTTACTGTCAAAAATGTAACCTTCTTAAGATTAATCTTATTCAAATTTCGTACAATAAATGCTGTTTATAAAGAATGTTTAGTATAAAATATTTATTCACGAATTGTGTCTGCGACTTTTATTTGGTATTCATAATATAATTCAAATAATTTTAAATATTTTGCCAATTTTGTTTGTCTTTTTCGTTTTTTTAACCTCTACAATAATTCACAATAAAGTATATTCTGAAAAAAAGCTGTTAACATTTCTAGACACTCAATTAATTAAAAACTCGCTCGCAAGCTCGCCCGTGTCGATTTCAAATTCTGACTAAAATGGATAATAAAAGGAAAAAAACGTAAAATGTAAAGAAAAAAATGGCGAAACAAACTGAAAAAAAAACAAAAACGGATGTCAGTCAGGATTAAAATACCTACTGATACCCTGAAAGAATATTCTGAAATGGCCTTAGGTTCTTAGGTACATTTGCCAAATTTCTTATTACTTCAGTTTAATATAAAAGGTATCATAATAAAGGTTAACAAAAAACATTGTCTTGCTAATTTCTGATTTCTTAAAAAAAAAACGTGTGATACAATACAATCTCAGATACGGCATTTTAAATAACGAGGGCGTACATTCGTTGAACAACAAACAATATGTGGGTTAAAAGTAACAAGATTCACTAATTACCCACTGGGATTGCATTCAATGTAAATGATCAAAAAATACAAACACTAATTGTTTATCTAATTTACATAAATGCATAGGCAACACTTCATCACCCTGTACATCCATATAAAGAGGGCAATACATATATTTTGAAATTTAATCACCTAAAAATCTTAAACAATAGTGAAAAAATAACATAAAACTTTTTATTTAAAAGAAATAAAAGTTTCACTTTCATTAAATTAATAAGATTAATTAAAATTAAAAAATGATTTAACAAAAAAGGTCAGTTAAAAATTACCTTCATTTAATGGAGTCCATTACCAGTAATTTCTAGACGTATTCCCACAACTTTTTTCACAATTGAAACGCATAATTAATAAAACCTATATATTTATTAATTAGTGGTAGGTACGTAGACAGTCATTAAATTTAAAAAACCTAAGATACTAAAAATACTAAACAGTTATCAAATATAATTAAACTTTCTTTTATATGATTTTACAGCAACAAAAGCGCATCATTAGTAAACTAGTTTTTAGCTCTTTTTAAAATTATCATTTCAAATATCGTGCTGCCAACATAAGAAACACAAAAATATGACAGTTTTAAACCTTTTTTCAGTCCTGGTAAAACATAAAAGTCAAAAGATACCAAATCTGGAAAATCAAAAGTTATTGGCAGATTGTTCTGAAATTTTGACAATAAAACAATAACTTCAAGGCCAGTCACATTTTTATGTGTAAAATAAATAAATAAATCGAAATGTATCCCTTGAAAATGGACTAACCACCGGTTAAATCCAAAATAAAAGCAGTTTTTCAAAGTGAATGTGAAGAGAATTTTTTATGGGCACTACACGGGAGTCTCCACTAGAAATTAAGTTAAATATAGTTTACTGCCGTCGAAATCAAAAGGACAGTACAACCTGCATTTAAACTTTTCAAATATTGGCGTTGAAAACCTATTTGTAATAAAATAATTTTCACATTAAGTAATATTTTACCAGAAAGGCACTTTATTTTAAAGATTGTATGACATTTGAAAACTGTCCACTAACTTAAAACTACAGTCCGTGACTAAAACTCCATAAGCCACAACTTGTCAATGGGTATTTAAAAGGTCAGTTTTAAAATGTTAAAAGGGGATACCGCCATTTTTGGCATATATTTTTGGAAAAAAAACAAAAATATCAAATATTTTAAATATATATGTGTGCAATATTTTAAATATATAGGTGTTTTATTTCTTATTTATATGTATAGGTATATATTTTTCCAAATTTAATATATTGATAAGTACTCATGCAAAAACGAATATTTTGAGGTAAAAATTATGATTTATTTATTTATTTATTTATTAATATATTTAATTTACTTTCTTTTAAATATTTACCCTTGACCTTATATACAAATGCAATTAAAACCATTTCTACTTGTTTTATGTAAAAAAAGAAAGTATTTGTTATTTAAATAATCATTACCTACTATGACTATGAATATTCCATTTCAAATAATAATTATTATACTAATAAATTAATAAAAAATATTAATTTAAAATTAATATTTTCTAAACAATATTATAAAAAAATCGACGTAGCTATACTAATTATAATAATTTATTTCAAATAAATTATTTGCTTTTTTGGAAACTATGAGAGATAAACTTTTTTATGGCGATTAAGAATTTGCAAAAAAATCTTGTAGGTATACGAGGTGTGTTCAGAAAATAACGGAAATTGTTAAATTTCGAGGGTTCGGAGGGTCCGGTTCTCATAAAATTTTCTTTATTATGTTGGTATACATGCCCCCGAAGTATGATAAAAACTTTAGCTGTTTTCATTGTTTACTTTGTCTGTGGCAGCCGCTAAGGTTAGACGTGTTTTATGAGCTCGGCGATTTTTCGTTCGTTAAAAGAAATGGATCAAAGAATTTGTATCCAATTTTGCTTAAAAAATGAAATAAATTTTGTGAAATGTTAACAAAGGCCTATAGTGAGTCTGCTATAAGTAAAACAAGAGTTTACAAGTGGTATAAGAGTTTCCAAGATGGCCGTGAAGACGTTGAAGATGATGAACGCCCCTAACGCAAAAGAGCATTAACAACCGATAAAAACATGGAAAAAGTGGAAGAAATGGTTATAAACCATCAGAGAAGTCGATGATGATGTTGGTATATCGATTGGCTTATCCCATGAAATTTTTTCGAATGTTTTGGGTATGAAACGCTTGGCAGCAAAATTTGTTCTAAAATTGTTAAATTTTGAACAAAATTTTTAGCCGAAAACAATACTGTAATGATGCCCCAGCCTCCATATTCGCCAGACATGCCTCTGTCTGACTTTTTCCTATTCCCAAAAATAAAGAGAACCTTAAAGGGCCGTCGTTTTGCAAGCATAGATGACATTAAAAGCGCATCGCTGAAAGAACTAAAGGCTATCTCAAAGATCGAGTTTTAGAAGTGTTTCGAGTATTGGAAGAAGAGCTGGCACATGTGCATAATATCCAATGGGGACTATTTTGAAGGCGACAACATTAATGTAGGCGAATAAATAAATATTTGTTTCAAAAAACGAGTATTCCCGATATTTTCTGAACACACCTCGTATTCTCATTATTAAAAACAATAAAAATTATTATTGTAATAAAGTTTCATTTTGTCAACTGCTTACAAATATAAAGTCCCTTTAAATAGTGATTGTTATAATATGAAAATTTACTTAATTTCATTTTTTTACTTATTTTAGCAACTTTCGAAACTGTAAGGAATTCCTAACGCATCCAGTCTATTATAATATACCCACCTATCGTTTTTTCTTACATAATTTCGCTCGATAAACTCCCATAAAAGGCGAAAAAAACATAAACGAATTGAAACGTTGGTGTTTGGAAATAAGGAAGGAATTTGCATCTATTTGTTCATATAATTTAATCTTCATCATTTAAGGAAATCAGAATCTCGCTCGGCAATTTTATTAAATAAGAATTATGCAATTTTTCAATTATGCTGGTAATAAATAAAACACGAAAATCGATTTTGGTTTTACGTGTTTATTTTTAACATTATGTTGCCTTATATGTACAGCAGTTAACAAAAATAATGCCATGCAAAAATGCGAAGAATCCCATTTGTTTGTATGTTTATTTTAAATTTAGTTACACAACTATAAATAACAAAAAATTAATTAACCTACTTTATTTTTATGGTGGATTTTGAATATTTTCGCAAGTTATAGGTGAACAGTCCTGATGTCTCACGGCTGCAAAGATTTTTTTGAGATCTTCAGTTTTATCCATAATATCTTCCCTATAAAACATATTTGGGTTAATGACAGAGTAAGTCTCTGGTTAATGATACGGTGGCGGCAAATACCATATTTGGGAAGTATAAAAAATGGTTTTTAAAAAATTGTATAAAAAAAAACATTTAACAATAATAAACAAACAAAATAATGAGAGCTTAGATTTTATAATGACATGTCAAAAGGTTTTTATCATAGACATATTAATATGTAGATGTTTTTTATAATTATAACCATTTTGTAGGTTTGAATATCCATCTTAACCTATTAAAATAGTATTTGCGATAGGCAGATTGAATGATTTCTCTAGATGGTTTCGCTAAAAGACCACTGGGCCTTATAATTTGCATTTTTTTATGAAGTATCATTCAAAGTAACAATTTTTTTTTATTTAAGAACTAGGCGTTCCTTTAGATAAACCACCGTATTTCTTTTGTGTTTAAAACTATAAGATTAGTTTTAGTTCATCTTGTTCAAGTTAAAATTAAATTATTTTAAAAAATATTTAAAATATCATCATGAAACATTTTAAAAATTAAGTTTTTATACTTCACCTTTCAGAAAAATTATCCAAAAAATTCTTAACATTTTCCTGAGCGTTTGGCGAGGTACTAGCAGCCAAAAGTAATTCACAAATCATTCTTTCTTCACAACCTTTGGCTTTTAAACCCTCAAAAAACGTTATTGAAGTTAACAACTTCTTCTTTAGATCCACATTTTTGTCCTCAAGCCTATATCTACTATGACTGAAAATAATTATTATAATAATTTATAACAAGTATTATTATGTACAATAGGGTGTGCCAAAAAAACTCGATATATTTTTTTTTTTGTTCTCCACCCAAAATATCGTAGAATATGTCCGAACAAATATCCTGTTAAAAGCGGAGCTCATAATTTCAATTTTAAGAGGTCCTTCATCGAATCTGAAGTTTTGCCGCTTAAATAACACAGAAAACTGACTTTTTACCTTATTTATTCTTGCAACCTAGGAAGAATTTTTTTTTTCATAAAATCCATGACCAAATCTTACAATGCATTAAATTTGGACGAAAAAATCTTATTAAGCCGAATTTCTATTTTCATTATTTGATTTTTTACAGAGCTTTAAATTTAAAATTTTAGGTTTTTTGCCTTTTTCAGCTAAACTATTGAAGTTAGACGAAAAAGTCAAATGGCAATTTTTTATATTGTCTGATGGATCACAAAAAAGTTTTTGGAGAATTTTTTGTATCGTCAATATTCTAAAAGTTACAGGCGTATAAAGTCATCATTTTTGTATTATTAACTTTAAATTTAAAGCTCTGTAAAAAAATCAAATAATGAAAATAGAAATTCGGCTTAATAAGATTTTTTTGTCCAAATTTAATGCTTTGTAAGAATTAGTAATGGATTTTATGAAAAAAAAATTCTTCCTAGGTTGCAAGAATAAATAAGGTAAAAAGTCAGTTTTCTGTGTTATTTAAGCGGCAAAACTTCAGATTCGATGAAGGACCTCTTAAAATTGAAATTATGAGCTCCGCTTTTAACAGAATATTTGTTCGGACATATTCTACGATATTTCGGTTTTTTGGCACACCCTAATGTACAATAAAAACTTACGTAGTGTCATTGGCATTAGTTACTGTAATCACTGTAGGTGTAAGAGCACTTATAATAAGCCCTATAGGTATAAAAGCTGTCAATATTTTTATAATTTTTTTCCATGGATTTTCCCCATAGTGCCCCCCTATACCCCCATACCCCCCTGTTTTTTGTATGGGGCTCGGCCTTTCCATCATGTTGTAACTATATTTTTCCTCAGGTTCCTTATAAATGTTATCGTAGGAATTTTGCCTTATCGGTACATGTTTTTGAAAGGAAATGTCTTCGTTTTTCTGAAAATTTTTGCTGGTGTAACTCGGGCTTTCCTCATTTTCATTGTAAAATTTACTGGGCCGTTCTTCATTTTCGTTGTAGAATTTATAGGGTCTTTCTCTTTCTCTTTCTGGTGCAGGGAATTTTATCCTCCATGGATAGGTCGACTCGGTCGACGTGTAATATTCGTTCTGGATTTTCGACCTTTTGGCCTCTGGATGCGCAGGAACCACCGGAAATTTGTTGTACTCATACTCGACGTCCAGCTGAGGACTAGGTTTAAAATCTGTAATTTTTTTCTCTCCCTTAATCAGTCCGCCCGAAAAATTTAACGGTTGCACAGTGCGCTCAATCTTTTCCACGAACTTATCCGTAGTCACAAAATTGGTTACCTCGGTAACATTTTCATCACAAAGTACCCTTACAAAGAATAAAATAAATACGTACAATATCATGGCTATAAAAATAAAATAAAAATGACAATTTTTTACGTAAATCTTTATTTATAAACTCTTAAAACAATAAAATTACACTCGCATGTTAGCTAAACATTTTTCTATTGTCTTTGTGCATACCAAAGAAAGAGTATTTCTGCAATTCTATGCTCCAAATATTATAATAATAATTGAGTTTGAAGAAAGTGCACGTTTTATAACAACTTATCACAACAATACGAACATAAAACCTTTAAAATACGCAATAATATAATTATTTCAGACTAATGATAACAATGCCGTGTTAAAATTATTAAAAAATATTTAAATTTAGTTAGTATCGCCATCTTACGGAATGCGGCGAATGTACCACGGAGTTTTATAGTAAAACTAGTAGTTTTAAAGTACCCCATGTTTCGATAAAAATGTAGTTAATCCCAGAACAATAATTTATTTTAATCTTGTTATTAATCCATTAAAATAACTTGTTTTAAATAAGTAATAAAATTCAAGGAGTGACAATATTCTGTCGATAAAACAGTGACCTGTACTGTAGAAACGTCAAAAAATCTGACAAATATTCATTTAATAAACATTCCGTAATTAATGCCGTATTGAGCGACAAAAAACATAGAAAGTCCTTAAAAATGGACACAACTAAACTAGAGGTAGGTAAATTAGTTAATATATTTTAGAAAAAATTCAGCGGTCTTAAGATAAAAATCAATAATTTAACCTACAAAAACATTTACGTGTTTTTCGGGAATTTTAGATGTTTGATGACGTTGAGAGCCATGTGGAGGGCGAAATGGTTTTACCGGGCCAAACAAATACCCAACAAATCGGTCAGCCAGATTTTAATACGCTAGATGAGCCAATACGAGTTACAATAGTATGTTCGATTTTTCTATATACAAAATAAACTAAATAATAACCCTGTTATTTATAATTATTATTAATAGTGGTGACTTAATATTAATTTTAGATGAGGGACTTAAAAGCTGTAGGTATTAAGTTTGCCCATGTTCTGTTTCCGAAGGAAAAAAAGACTTTATTGAAAGAATGTAAGTTTGGCAAAATTTTTTATTAAAAATACATAATTTGAGTGCGATTTTTTCAGGGGATTTATGGGGACCTTTGTTATTATGCACATTTATGGCAATGTAAGCATTATACTTTGAACGGTGGTTACATAGGTTGGGTTCCATAAAATAACGTGTTGTTTTTAGGATTTTGCAAGGTTCTAATGATGCCTCAAATTTGGGTGATGGAGGGCCTCAATTTGCAGAAGTTTTTGTTATAGTTTGGATAGGCTCAATGATAGTAACATTAAATTCCAAACTGTTGGGTGGAAATATGTAAGATTTGATAAAAAATTGGAACAAGAAATGTATGTAATTAATAAATATTTTTTAGATCGTTTTTCCAAAGTGTATGTGTTTTGGGGTACTGTCTTCTTCCAACAACAATTGCGTTAATTATTTGCAGAATTATTTTATTAGCAAATCAGTCAAATATGTTGTTTTTCATTAGGTTTGCTGTGTCAATGGCTGGATTTTTTTGGGCAACATATGGTAAGCATTAATATTTTTTTAAATCCTAATTTAACAAAATACAAAAATATTTTTTCAGCTTCCATGGTATTTTTGGGGGACAGCCAAAAACCCAACAGAAAATTACTGGCAGTCTATCCAATAGGATTGTTTTATTTCATTATATCTTGGCTGGTTATTTCACACACAACCTAAATTAATTGTGACTTTTTTATTTGTAAATATTTATTTTAAGTGATTTCTTTCCTCCCTGATAAACTATGGACTCATGTATTATTAATTATGTATTTCTAATAGATACTTTCTACATAATTTGTAAATATATAATATAAGATTTTATACGGGTTTTTGTGTACCAGAAAAGGTAGAATTCCAGGTAAAAATGTTGCTGTATATAAAAGATTGCAGTTCTATTTTTAAGTCATTTGATAAAAGATTCTGTAGCAATACATATGATGACGTCACGTCCGGTTTATTTGCTTATTTGTTGCGTTTCTTTCGTTTTTTCTTTGCAATGTGTAGATGAAGAAAATATCCCAGTTGATTGGTAAGTACAAATGTTTTTGTGAAAAATTTGAAAACATGTTTATTTACACAACCAAAATATACATATGATTTTTTTCACAATATATTTAAACCATGTATACCTATTTAAAAAATATTTGTTAGGTTTGTAGCGTATAAATTCCCAAAAATAAAACATGAAAATGCAATATTTAGAAAAGGTTTGGCCTATTCTTATATGACATCAAAAGAAAATACAAAATGGATCTTATCAGAAAATTCCATAAACACATCATCATCTTTAATTGGAAATGCGTTGTCAAACCTATACACAAACGTAAGCTAAAAAAATCCCACAATTTTTTTTTGTAAAACCTTTTTTTAAGGAAAACATTTTTCATATTCTCTACAACGACCAGCCGCCCGTGGGTGAAACAAGTGAGGTCAAAGGTCACACAAAAGGCGTAGTTTTAGCCAATGAAAATGGCGGGATTTGGTTGATACACTCAACGCCGCATTTTCCGCCTATAGGCAGGGGTTATTCCTACCCGAAAACCGGCACTGTATACGGGCAAAGTTTCCTGTGTATTTCATTGGATGTATCAAATTTAAATGAAGTTGGTAGTGAGATTTATAATTTTTAACGATATGCTAGTAATTTTTATTGTTTAATTATTTAGGTCAACAGTTAAAATATAACGAACCGTTTATATATTCAACAAACATCCCAGATATATTGTCAAAAAAATTTCCAGACTTAGTCAAGGCTGCTGATAATGTTACCATAAAAAATGCCCCTTGGTATAGACAGACTAATTTACAAACAATAGCCGGACAACAGTTTGTATCTTTTGCTAAATCTAAGAATTTTGGGAAAGATTTGTATTCATCTTGGGTTTCAACCGTTTTAAAATCGGATTTATTTGTTGAAACGTGGAGGAAAGGGCCTGGAAACTTACCTTCAAACTGTAACAACAATTACAAGTAATAATTTTCATATAAAAAGGGTTTTTTATGTAATTTCCACATTTTTGGGAAAAACATCATTAAAAAATAAAAATTATAGTTACAAATTTAACAGGATACCATCCACTCATAAAATTATTAAAAAAAAATTATTTTTAGAGTAAATAATGTTAAACAAATAAAACTGCAAACCATAAGATTTTTGACCACTGAAGATCATTCAAAATGGGCCGTTTCTGAGAATTTAGAGCACACCCAATGGGTCTGCATTGGCGATATAAACCGTCAAGTAAGTAAACACTAAAAAAATCACAAAAACTAGCAAAATTGTTCTAGGAACATCAATTGCAACGAGGTGGAGGTACTGTGTGTGTTTCCCACAAAAACCTATCCACAAACTACCTTAAATCAGTTATTGATAGTGAGCAATGTTAAATAAAGCACTTACAACAATTTAAATAGTATATTTACCTATAACAATCTATGTACATTAAAAAATCATTGTTCTACTTTGGTGGATAATATGGCACCTTATTATCAGGCTGTGTGCATCTATATTTCAACATCTCAATCTCAGCCTCAAAATAACTATTTTTATCATAACAGAAATACTCGGGGTTCTTATAATCAGTATTTTTAGCGGCTCCAGGCCCCACAGGGGCATTTGGTATCTTTACACAGGCTTCCGTTAAACCTTGCACATTAGGTGTTGATTGGCTGGGTGCCGATGCTTTTGGCTTGTTGAAAATTACTTTTCCTGCAGTAAAAGTACGCTTTGCAGGCGATGCATTGCCGAATTTGCTGATATTTGACAGGATTCTTGTTGAAAGCATTTTGAGGTTATGGCAGTTTGACAGTTATGTAATTAGGCAGTGCTGACAATCAAAGAACTTTGCTGACAATCTAATCGCAGGGGCTAGTGTGCATTGAGTTTTGCTGTTGCCTTATTAAGTTCAGCTCACAAAACTAGAAGGTTACACCTTCTAGTTTTGTGGTTCAGCTTAAAAATTATGCTGCACTATCTAAAATGTATTAAAATAGGCACAAATATTTGATAAGACACGCATCAACAAGTACTGCGAAAAGACATAAAAATCGTCTACTGTTGGCAGCCTTGTGTTCTTTCGTTACTTTAGACAGGTATTTAAATTAGAAATTAAATAATTTAATATGAATATCTACAAATTCCATGAAATTGAAGTATATTTGCTTTTTTAAACGTGATAATTTAGTTATAAGCAAATAAGAATTGTAAAACTTCTCTATTATCCAACATTTTTTATAAACCGTTATAATTTAAAAACAGCTGATTAGACGTTTTTTAGACATCGTAAACACACACCTGTAGAAAAGTTGTGGTAAATATCTTTGAGGTTTTCTTATTTTTAAGTATTTCAGCTATACAAAACTGCTATTTTTATAATTTAACTTGATATAACGTAAACATGGCTCCAAAAAAGCAACAAAAGCGGAACCCCTTTTATTATTTTATGATGGAAGTTAAGAGAAATGCTGGTAATGAAATAGATAACAATACAGCGCAAGAAATTGCCGGTGCCAAGTGGGCTGTAAGTTATTTAATTATGTATTTACTTGATTTAATAATATTTCCACTAGAAAATGAGTGCAGATGAAAAAAGAAAGTATGAAATTAAAGCTGCGGAAGTTAGAAACAATGTATCCCTTAAAAAATATACATCGGAAGGTATTGACATTGAAGAGATTGAAAGAAAGACTCAAGCTGAAAGAAAATGGCAGGAAGAGATGAAAACCACTATTTCACAGGATATCAGGGGTGCTCATAAAAGCGGGAGTAAGTTAAACAACAATAATAAAAAATTGGTTCTATATACAGTGTTATTTAAGGTATTGATACAAAAACGTTTTTTGTTCTTTACATAAACTCATTTGTCTATCAGGAAACTGAAGATAGGTATTTTCCTGCTGAAATTGGGTTATTGTCATTTAATTTAAGGGAAGGTGTCTTGCAAGAGAATATATACCATAGTATGATCCAACCTGGTGAGTGTATTTCACATTGTCAACATAATAATAATTATAATTATAATTATTATTAAATATTGTCACCTAAATGTGTGTGCATTTTTTGCAGTTTTTGTATTAAATGACGATAAAATGCCAAAAACAGCAAAAAATGGAGTTTTACAAAATTTAGGTGACAAAATGTATTGTTAAAAATACATTTAAGAGTATTAAAACCACACTTTTAATGTCAAACCCATTTAAAAAAAAGATAAACATTTTAATTTAAAAAACAAAGGGTCAATCCATATCAAATTTTAAAGATATTTAGTTCAAACAAAAAACACGTTGAAGAGCATAAAATGTACAATAATTTCTGTCCAGTATATATAGGTCTACTTAATTTTAAATAAAAAAAATAGGTAAATGTTAGCATTTTAAAAATAAAAACTTCCTCATTTACAATTAAAAATGTTAGATAAAACTCTAAATTTTATAAAATAATTAAAATAAAATAATTTATAATAACCGCCACTGATCGACCAGGAACTTTAGGCTAATTTAATTTATTATTTTATGGTTGCTAACAAGTAGCATTTCCAGATTCTGTAAAATTCTGTTAAATTGGCGTTTTTGTTAATTGTTGATTATGTCATTTTTGTAATGAAGGTACATTCAAACAAAATCTAACTTTTATGACAGAATCTAGTGCATTTGGATTTTGGATTTATTTACACAAATTAAATGTTTAAAGGTTAACCTGTGAAATTGTCCTAATTTTATCAGTTTTTAAATTGCATAAGCTGGATGAATAAATAAATACAGAAGGGTATTAGGAGCTTTAAGTTCATAAAATTTGTATTAATTGATTTTTATTTATTTTTTGCAAGAAAAATTTTTAGTAAAATTTTTTTACAACTGGCAACGCGCAGCTACTTTGTTGGTTGGTATCTAAAGTTCATTTTTTTATATCTGGACTCGTGTTTTTTTGTTAGGTTGGTGGCTTATGCCAGTTTGACTTAGTATTTTTAGTATTTAAAAATGGTACAGTTGCGGACAAAAAATTTCGGGCACCATTTGACATTCACTGACACATGCGGTGAAACAACCTTTATACCCTGGTAACCTTAATTTTTAATTCTGTCAGTTGTATGATCTGTGGTCACTTCTTGCCTATAAATCAGTATTGTTTTGGAGGTTTTTTTTAATCTCATGCTTTTACCCTGCCTTAAGAAAAACTTCACATAAAATAAATTGTATATTACTAGTATTACAAATGGTTAGAAAAGTCCACTCTACTGCTTTTGAAATTCTTTGCTTAACAAATAGGTATAACAGTTTGTTTAACTCTTTTTTATCACGAATCGTAAAATGACGTTGGATAATACGCGTCTTCTTGATGTCTGCCTTTAACTGGACTAAATTAGCAAATTAAAATTAATATTAGCTTGTATAACTTTCGTCAATCGAGTGTTCATGGAGAGACATATATTCCTGTTATAGTTCTGGGGCAATTCATGCCATGCATCGGTGATGGCGGTCAATAACTCCTCTGTATTGTTAAATACTAAATTCCGACGTTGTAAATTTCGTGTTAAAAGACCCCACATATTCTCGATCGGGTTAAGATCGGGGCTTTGACTTGGCCAGTCAATAACGTCTATATTATGGTTCTCGAACCACGCCGCTACCCTGTGTGCAGTATGAACAGAGCAATTGTCCTGACGAAACACAAAATCACCGTTGGGGAACACTCGTGTTACCGAAGGGAGCATTACGTCTTCGAGGACCCTAATATAGACGTTGCTGTTAAACCGATCTTGCACATATAGCATTATGCCAGGATCAACGGTTGAGACCCATGCCCACATGTTCACAGAAAAACGTCCGCTCTGTTTTGTTTCTTGAACATATCTCTCTTCGTAACGGGTATTTCTTGGTCTGTAGACTTTTAGCCGACCATTTGGAGACGACTGAAAAACTTTTTCATCGGAGAAAAGAACTCGGTTCCAAAAGGCATCATCTTTAATAATGTGTTCTAAAGCGAATCCCATTCTCGTTTCTCGATGGCGAGGTGTTAGTCGTGGTTTCCTTGCGGCCGTACAATTTATTAGTCCAGCTGTTCTAATGTGCCGACGTGCTGTCCGAACAGAAATTGGAAAATTTGTTCTGTTTACCGCCTGAAAGCGGTGGTAAAGGGAGCATTTTCTACAACATCAATCAATGCTTCGTCTTCATCAAGTGTGGAGCCTCGATGTCGTCCAGAACCACGTCGCCGCTCGACCATTCCATCTTCTTCAAATTTTTTTACAATCGAATTAATGTACTTTTCGGTATCCCCAACAATCCAGAAACTTGCCTTTGCGTCATTCCATTTTGGATATGGGTTATTATTAAAACTTTATGAAAGTAATTTACTGGAGGCATGCTTGAAAAGATTTGACTTAAATAAAACCTGACATTTGCAAAATTTTTTTACAATCGAATTAATGTACTTTTCGGTATCCCCAACAATCCAGAAACTTGCCTTTGCGTCATTCCATTTTGGATATGGGTTATTATTAAAACTTTATGAAAGTAATTTACTGGAGGCATGTTTGAAAAGATTTGACTTAAATAAAACCTGACATTTGCAAAATTAAAATTTCAAAACGTCAAATGATAATGAGAATAAAGCTTAAGCTACATCTACTTTTTGAAATGACAGGAAAATTTCTGCCCGAAATTTTTTGACCGCCACTGTACTCCTATTAAAGAATTTAATTAAATACTTTGACACTGTCAAATTGACAATAATATTTATTATTGATAATTTACTTGTCAATTATAAATAAAAAGATAATTATGCCAAAAATAATAGCAACGAATTCGAATGTAAAAGCCCTTTTGAGGGCAAAACTTCATTTTGATGAAATTATGCCAAATGCCACAATGGAAGAAAAAGTCCATCGCCTTATGGACATTTTTGGAGTAAAAAAGTAACGAATTTGGTTTTATAAATATTACATCACACATTATTTTTACATTATTCACCATTGGACAACATTTACGTTCACAAAAAAATTTAATTTCTTTTATATAAATTCTTTTCAAAGTGAAGATTATCCGCTAGGAATACTTTCTCTTTTGGGCCGTAAAGCAACCTATATTTAACTACTTTTTTATATGATTTTACTCATCCAAGCACCACCAAAGCTTTATATCTGGATTTATATCTAGCTTAGTTTGTTTTAATCAATGCGACCAACCTGACAACTGTGTTTACCAACCAAAGTCCTAAATTTGCAACGTTGCCGCAGTCCAGATAAAAAAAATGAACTTTATGAACTCAAAGAACGAGTGTGTAACCAGTGGCGTATCACAAAAAATTTAAAAATCTTCTAATGCATATTTTTTTCTTTATCTTTGGGATAATATTTTTTTAAATATTTTCCGTTACACCTTATGTCAAAAGGTATTCAGTATTTTAATATATTACATTAATTACATAAGGCATTACATTTAGGCCTCCTTTTTTAATGTTTCTTCAAACTGCGATTATTCTAAAATCGGGTATTTTCAAACATTCTAAAATGTGTTTTGAACATTAATGTTCAAAACACATTTTAAATGTTTATTATACAGGTCAACTTCCCATGGGCTATTTTAATGAGGCTATGATAATTTCCAATGAAAAACATAAGATTCAGCCTCCTTCCAGTTTGGATACTGGTGACAATACCGAAAAAGTTTTTAATGAAATTTGTGAATTTATTTCTGTAAGTTTTTTGAGTTTTACAGTGTTTTTACGATTTTATAAATGATTTTTTGTTAGCAACGCTTTGAAGGGGGACAAGATTGTCCGATTTTATATGTAAAAGAGAAATACATGAAAATGTGCCAGAACATTTTGGATTCCTGGACGGCGCAGTTTAATGAATGCTACTTTTTCAAAGTTTACAATCTTCAACTAATGTTAAACGAATTAAGGAGCACCATAGAGCAAACTAACGTTGTAATGGCAAACTCTTTCGGGTTTTACGAAATATCAAAAGATGTGTATTCACATGTCTCCAACATTGCTTGCGAAGTAAGTTTTTCTTTGACTGATAAGTTGAAATTTTTTAATGCAAAGAATTTCAGTTTCATGAAATTGCCGATGCCCAAATAAGCTGCGCTAAATCCATAGTGACCAGGCAAGCCTACGTGATTTGCGACAACTGCTGCCCAATTCTGGAAATACCTCTAATTCCGGGACACCACGTCCCGGAATCGACAAGGACGGATAGAATAAGGAACAGTAGTCGGGCAAGCACTTTTAGCAGCAAACAATCAGAGGTAAGTTCAGTTCAAATTGTTTTTTGTGACAAAAATAACCGCGTTGTTAACTTATTATAAATATAAATATTCTTTTTTATTAATATTCAAATAAAAAAATTTACAAAAACATTTCTTGCAAACAAAAATTTAAAAAAGGGGGGTCAATTTAACCTTAAAATATTGTCAGATTGACAGAAATTACAAAATAAATGTAAAATCCTGGGGAGTCACCTACAGATTTTGCGACGTTGCAACGTTTATTTTGTCCAAGGTGTTGCCAACTTGGCAATGCCAAGTATGTGCTATGTTGTCACATTTATTGGTTTTACATTGTTGTCATTTTACCTTTTCGCAATGTTGCCAAATTTACTTTTTTTTGAATTTATTTACGATTTTTTGGAGCCTAAAATTACAAAAATAATCACTTTGTCAAGTTCTTAAATATTGTCACTAATGTTGTAAAATTTAATATTTACTTGCTATTATTTAAATGAAAAATTTAACAAAAACATTTCTTCCAAACAAAAAATAGTAAAAAAGTGGGGGTCAATTTAACCTAAAATTATTGTCAGATTTACAAAAAAGTCACCTACAAATTTTTCGAGGTTTATTTTGTCGCAATGTTGACAAATTTACTTTTTTGGATTTATTTGCCACATTTTTGTTTGTAAAAATAACAAAAATAATCAAATTTATATTTTCTGAAATTAAATGTTTTTTATTATTATTCAAATGAAAAATTTTACAAAAACATTTCTTCCAAACAAATTTTTTTAAAAAGGGGTGGTCAATTTAACCTTAAAATATTGTCAAATTGACGGAAGTCACCTACAAATTTTGCGACGTTGCAACGTTTATTTTGTCCAAGGTGCTGCCAAGTTTATGTGTGTGCGATGCATTTTCGCAATGTTGCCAAATTTACTTTTTTTTTCAATTTATTTACGATGTTTGCCACATTAATTATTGTTTGTAACCCTAAAAATGACAAAAATAATCACGTCGTGTTTTTAAATATTGTCGGCAATGTTGTGAAATTAAATCTTTTTTCAAATGAACAATTTAACAAAAATAAAAACCTTAAAATATTTTCAGATTGACTAAAGTCACAAATATTGCGACATTGCAACGTTTATTTTGTCCAAGGTGTTGCCAAGTTTAAGTGTGTGCGATGTTGTCACATTGCCATTTTACATTTTCGCAATGTTGCCAAATTTATTTTAGGATTTATTTACGATGTTGACACATTGCTTATAACCCTAAAAATGACAAAAATAATTACGTCAAGTTTTTAAATATTGTCAGCAATTTTGTGATAGAAATCTTTTTTTATTATTATTTAAATGAAAAATTTTACAAAAACATTTCTTCCTTTTTCCTTTTTTTTACAATTTTTTGTTCTCAAAAGGGGGGTCAATGTAACCTTAAAATATTGTCATATTGACGTTTATTTTGTCCAAGGTGTTGCCAAGTTTAAGTGCGTGCGATGTTGTCACATTTATTGATTTTACAGTGTTGCCATTTAATATTTTCGCAATGTTGACAAATTTACTTTTCTGGATTTATTTACGATGTTGCCACATTTATATTTTTTACAATGCTGCCAAATTTACTTTCTATAGTTTTATTCACGATGTTGCCACATTTATTGAGTGTTGTCGTATTAATTTTTCCCAATGTTGGAAAATTTACTTTTTGCTTTTTTTACGATGTTGTCACACTTTTATTTTTCAGTGTTGCAATTTTTCATTTTTGCAATGTTGCCAAATTTGGTATTTGGTTGTATTTACCATGGTGCCATATTCATTTTGCAATATTGCTAAATTTACTTTTTGGTTTTATTTACAATTTTGCCACTTTTGTTAATTAATTATTCTACAGTGTTGCCGTTTTACATTTGGGTTTTATTTGCATTTTTAGATTACATTTAGGATTTTGCCACATTTATTGATTTTACAGTGTTTAAATTTTAAATTTTCGCAATGTTGCCACTTTCTTTTTACGATGTTTCTACACTTTTTTTTAATACAGTGTTGCCATTTTACATTTTTGCAATGTTGACAAATTTTGTATTTGGTTTGATTTACCATATTTTACGATATTTATAGATTTCGCAGTGTTGCCGTTTTACAGTTTTAATTTATTTATGTCACATTCATTGATGTTACAGTGTTGCCGCTTTACATTTTTGAAATTGTTTTATTTACAGTGTTGCCATATGTGTTAATTAATTCTAGTGTTGCCGTTTTAAATATTCGCAATGTTGCCAAGTTTACTTTTTGGTTTTATTTGGATTTTTAGATTACATTTGAGACGCCGCGCAGCGACGCCGACACGGGCAGTGTAATTTCGTTCACTAGTCGTTCGGAGGGTTGGGATAACGAGTCGGTGGCTTCTACCGGTACAAGCGTGGCAACGCTGGAAGAGCAGTTTCCCGCTCTGGGTCAGGGGAGGTAAATTTATAATTTTTTGTGTTATATTTTTATTGTTTTTTTTTTCAAATAAGGTCGAACGGTGGGGCTGGAGAATGGTTTTCGCAGAATAGTAACGGTAGTGTGCGAAGCAGTTATTCGGGCGCTGCAGGTTCGAATGCCGGGTTCAGTCAGTTGCGTAAGGCAGCCATGCGTAAGTATTTTTTAGTGAATTGTTTTTTGTCGCTCACATTACATGATTAAATGCGTTTCTGTAGCTGCCTTATTGAAACAAATGAAGGATTTGAATTTTGAAGAAGGAACTTGTAAGTATTAAAAATGACTGGGTAAATTTTTCGAGCAAAAATATTTTTTTGGTAGCTACTAGGTCTGGTTCCACAAATCCACTTAGATACAACCGCACTTGGAGCCAGATGAGCGATTCAGACAGTGTAACATCGGAAGTAAGTCAATCATCTCAAAAACCATTTAACAACGCACCTAATGATTTTCCAGCCTTGGGGGGCAAAGGAAAGGCAAGGGGAAGAGGCGGGTTTAGAAAATAAACCACCCGCATAAAATAAAAAACAACATAAAACAATTAAGATAAATGTTGACGATTATTTTCTCAAATGGATGTCCGTAAAAAAGATCTTTTATTCATCTGTGATTGTTTCACTAAGAAGGTTTGGTTTTGTTACATAACGTTTTATTTTAATTTTATATTCATGAGATCACTATTTGCATGACATGTTAAAAATAAATGTTTTCAATTAAATGCATTTTTTTATTTATTTATTCCCAAAAATAGTACGAAATTTAACAGGCGGACAAAGCTGAGCTCAGTGCAAGTATTAGGATAAACAACAAGGTAATTTTACTTCCAAAATTAATTTATTTTCATTAATTTTATCAAAGAAAATACCACTTTGGAAAAGTATTATTACAACATGTCATTTTTTACATTTCCAATGGAATTACCCATAAGCATGCTTTCTTAATTTGCGCTGTATAAATGTTTTTTACTTTTACCGTTGAAGGTATTAATGATCAAAATAAACTTTGGTCAGTTTTTTTGTATGTTGTTTATTATTTTGACCCAAAATCCTTTAGCTTAACCGGCTTTTATTACTTGTTTTAATTTATTTAAAACTGTCCAACAGAGGTATTTTTAAATTTTGAATTTGTTTGGTAAATTAAATTAAATATAATTAATTTAATGTTAGTTTAATGGAAAAAATCAAAATACTTTTATTACTTTATTTATTTACTAGGAGTAAGATTAAAGGCTGAAACTTTTTGTCTCAATATTTTGCTTGGGGATAAATTTTCCACACTAATATAAAGGGTGAGTCGTTTAACTTGAAACTTTAAAATATCTCAGTAGTTATGCATTTTACAAAAAAATAATAACCACAAAATAAAATTAAACTAATAGTCACATGGTACTATTACTAGGTATAAGTTTAGTTTTATTTCAATGTTTTTTTCATGGATAACTTGACAGAATAAGTTTTTGTAGTTTTGTGCATTTTTGTACTTAAAATTTTTCAATAAAATTTAGTAAAGGGTCGTTTTGAGGGATGGTAAATCCAGTGCCGTGCTTGGATTTTGTTTAAAAAAATCGCTAATATGAATTCTTAAAAATTAACTCTTAAAAACTTACATACTTATCAAGATCTACACTATAAAACAAATCTGGTTAAAATCGCACAATAAATTTTACAGGGGTGAGTCGCAAACAAATGGGTCACACTGTATATAATAATATATTATTTAAAAAACAATAATAAGAAAAATAAATAAACACGTGCATTAAAATGCATAGATAGTTAGTAATCATCACAGTAACCGTAATTACATTTAATTAAAAATAGTTTAGTGTACAATCAGATTTAAAAATTTGCTTAATCAAGGTGGGATCTCGTGTCTTAACACTGAATAAAAGTGAAAGTCGACCTCTGTGTTAAATTAATTTAATAACTTCTTCATTCAAATCCGAAACGCCAAAGAAGCAACAACAAACAAAAATGTTAAAATCTGTGATACTAGTTTTTTTGCTTGGAGTTTTTTCCGCTAATACGCAAAAGGTAATTTAAAAAAATATTACCAATATAAAGTGTTTCGTTTGTTAAATGTTTTTATGTTGCAGTTAAATGTAGAAGTTTTATTTGAGTCCCTCTGTCCAGATAGTTTAAGGTTTATTAGTGAACAATTGTATCCAAATTGGAATGATATTTCTGAATATGTTGACCTTAAATTCGTCCCATTCGGAAAGAGCGCAGTAAGTATACAAGGTTTTTAAAAATTTAAATTTAAGATAATAATAAATATCCGACATTGACTTACATTTTTAATTAATTCTAAAACTAGCTGATTTCCAGATTTAACTGTTTGTAAAACTATATGTTGGTTTTTTACGATTCGAATGCCTTGATGATTTTGAAATTTTGTTTTAGAGTTTAGAAGGCGGAAAAGACTTTGTTTGCCAACATGGCCCCCAAGAATGTAAAGGAAACAGAATTTTATCTTGTGCCATAGAAAATTTACCAAACCAAAATGACCAAGTGGAATTTGTAAACTGCTTCATGCAAATCTACAAAAGAACTCGTAAACACCCCATGGAAGACGCTCAACAGGTAAGAAAAGAGTTTTTATCCAATGGCATTTTTTTATCCAGCGAAAATTTTTATCTAATGGAAATTTTTTATCTAATGACAATTTTTATTTGATGGGATTTTTTTTATCTAGTGAAAATTTTATATAATGGAAAAGTTTCTCTAATGGAAATTTTTCTCTAATGGAAAATCTTGTTTTAGTGCTCACACAAAGTCAACTTGGATTTTAAACAACTAATTGGCTGTTACAACTCAGAACAAGGCACCCATTTACAGTTGAACGCTGAGAAATCCACCGTTAAATTCCAACCTAGATTTATACCCACCGTTTTATACAACGGGGTAAGCAAAAACACCCTGTATATAAAAATTTGTTACAACACCCATAAAATATAATAAAAGCAATGCTGTTGACGTTAAAAATTTTGGCCCCCAAACTGTCCGGATTTTAACCCACATAACTTCTACAACTCGGCGAGTTGAACTCGCGTGCAATTAAATGAAATTGTGTGGGCGTACTAAACATTGTTTATTTATTTTTAGGAATTCAAGCAACAATTACAGGACATAAGCCTGGTGAATTTTAGAGGTTTGGTCTGCGAATTAATTGGAAAGACTTTCCCAGAGTCTTGTAAAAAACTTTCTACCATATCTTTGTGAATTTATGCATTACTCACACAATAATACATAAAGAATTATTTTATTTATTTAACATTATAACATTAAGTTAAGTAATTATTTAAATAAATTATATTTTGAACTAAGTGTATGTAGTTTTATTGATATTATAAGGATTAATTTTAATTAAATACTAACCTTGTGGTTTTAGACCACTATCTTAAATATTTCTGCTATCAGACCTTAAAAAATTGGAAAATATTTAAAAACAATCATTAATGTCGACATAACCTAATAGGGATATTTAAATTTTGTAATTGGGAAATTAGATCCGTCAATGTGTTTCTGCAATCAAAATTAAAATGACAATTTAATTTTGACATATATGGCAACGTCGCATTATTACTTACAGTTCGTTTTTTTGTTAGGTTGGTGGCTTATGCCAGTTTGACTTAGTATTTTTAGTATTTAAAAATGGTACTTCTGCTAAAGAATTTAATTAAATACTTTGACACTGTCAAATTGACAATAATATTTATTATTGATAATTTACTTGTCAATTATAAATAATAAGATAATTATGCCAAAAATAATAGCAACGAATTCGAATGTAAAAGCCATTTTGAGGGCAAAACTTCATTTTGATGAAATTATGCCATATGCCACAATGGAAGAAAAAGTACATCGCCTTATGGACATTTTTGGAGTAAAAAAGTAACGAATTTGGTTTTATAAATATTACATCACACATTATTTTCACATTATTCACCATTGGACAACATTTACGTTCACAAAAAATTTTAATTTCTTTTATATAAATTCTTTTCAAAGCGAAGATTATTATCCGCAAGGAATACTTTCTCTTCTGGGCCGTAAAGCAACCTATATTTAACTACTTTTTTATATGATTTTACTCATCCAAGCACCACCAAAGCCAAATGAATTGCATTTTTAACTACGAATTTCGACAACTCAACTTGACAACTGTATTTACCAACCAAAACCCTAAATTTGCAACGTTGCCGTCCAGATAAAAAAAATGAACTTTAATATTTTGTTGGATCATGGGATATTCGATTTGGTTTTGGGGATTTTAATCATTAATTATTGATGTCAATGCCATAAAAATTACTTTTCCCCAAATTTGTTTGAAAAATATTCATTAGTTCTTTTTTAAAGCGATTCCAATTGAATGGCCAAAAAATTAAAATAATAGCAATACTATACTTCATCTTTATTATATTTACTTAATATTTTGTTCTCAACAAATTTTATAAATCTACCACTCGAAAACATTTCAGGGTTATACAACTCCGGCTTGGAATTTTTATTTTTCGAAATCCAAAACATAGTTGGGTTGGTGTAAAATTCAAAAGGTCCCAAAATTTGGTTTTTCGAAACGTCCATTTTTGTCACTATCAATTCATCTTGAAAAATCGTTGCCGCATCTTCGCATGATGTAAATAAATCGCTGTCTATGTTTTGCTTGGAGTTGTAAAGTATCAAGAATACATTTTTTGGTGATTTAAGTACTACCTAAAAATTGTACCCTCAAAGAATTATTAAAATCATCCAAAAGTGGCAAAAGTGCCAAACTTAAGAATGACAAAAACTCAATTTAGAATGAAAATTTATTCAAAGCCCTTTTAAGAAGGTTACACATTTTAGAATGTTAAAAATAGTTTAGGAAGGTCAAAACTAATTCGTCAATGGAAAAACCTTAATATTCGTACAAAACCACGAATATAAAAATAATAGGAAATTAAATTACCTCTATAAAATTTTTAGCCACTGTTGTAACCAAAATGTCACCATTATCTTTGGGAACTTCCTCACTTTTTACCAATGCATTACTCAAAATGTTGTTAAGGAATTGTTCCAAATTTTCCGAAGTAAATTTCTCCACCATCTCGAAAATTTTACTCTCAGAAACTTTGAGAATTACGTGAGGATACGTCACGTTCTTTTTGAAATCTATTCTTGGGCTTATGGCGAAATTGGTTTTGTTTATAAACTTATAGGCGACTTGCAGGACTCTATTCCTGCAGTAGTTCAGTATTTGTGGATTTTTCAAGTCGACGTCAAAATATACAATTGCTAGGGGATATATTATTGTGGAATAATCATTACTCAGAACAACCAAACCATGTTTGTTTTTCTCGATAAAATTGGTTATGTCTTTTTTATTTGACTTGCCTTGATACGTTACACTAGCAGGTTCAAATTTGTTCTGCAGATGCAATGGTTTCTGCAGAACTATTTTATCCCTGTTGGAGTAATCAAATTTTGTTATTAAGGCAAAGTTGTAGATATGTTTTAGATCGTTTGCGACATCCAGGAAAGCATTTCGGAGGTTTGTATTGGAAGTGAAATATCCAAGTATAAACATGTTTTCTTGGTTTAACATAAAATTTTCTATATCCTTTTGGTTTTTTAGTTCTACGTAGTTTGGTTTGTTGAGGTTTCTTAGGTATTTTACAGCCAAATTTTTAGATAGCGGACCTTAAATAAAAATAATAAAGTACTTGTAGTTTGTTTAAAACTGTTGTCTGATGTTTTATAGTTTTTGTGAAACACCCGAAACGCACACTTATTGACTTATAAAATCGTTATCCTATTTGGTAAACTGTACTAATTTTGCAATTTAGATAAAACAACTAAAAACGTAGAGAATATATTCTTATAAGGCACTGTTATTTCAAAATACATAAAAATTTAGACTTTGGTTGAACAAATGTAACACCCGAAACGATGGAATGACCCCTATTTAGACAAAATTACACCACTAGCCTTACTGATGACATTCTTATTGGTCGACCTTTTATATTTACCTGTGTAATCAATTTTATGTATTCCTTCTTCAAATATTTTGACTTCCACATTTTCGGTAACCCCATATTTCGCACATACATTTTTTCCAAAATCATTACAATCCAGGTAAACTAAATATACAGGATCCTCATTTTCTATCCCATAGTGATTTTCTGGTTCAGCTTTTAAAAATTTTAACAGATCTTCATGGTTTTTGTAGAAGATTACCAATGTTTGTTGAAAACTTTTAATTTTTTCGTTGAAATTTTGGTCTGTTAGCTCGAAAATGTATTCGTGGGAGTTGTACCTTTGCGGATGAGACGAAAAAATGAATAAACTTGTAATTACCCAGCCCAGAAATAACATACTGTGGATTTTTGTTAGTTACATACTTTTGACAGGTTTTTGACAAAAACAGAAAATTTTGATAGGACGCACAGAGATAAATAATTCTTAAGGTTGAAAATACCAAAAAACCCAGACATCGATAAAATTGAAGAAAAACAAAAAACAAAAACATAATCTACAAACCTGTTTTTTTCCAAATTTTGTTTATTTAGGGGTGTTATTTAACACCACTAAAAGTGGGCGTTGGATTTTTTTAAATAAGCCCTTAAAAAACAAAAAAAATTGTCTCCTGGGTCACAAATTTACTAACATGTCAAAAAAACATAAAAATGGTTAATCATTTTGAAAATATATTTCTTTGCTTGTTAATTAATAATCCTTTCAAGGTTTTATTTACACTAGGATTTGTATAAAAAAAGAACAAATTTATTGATTATAAAAAAATGTTGAGTACAAAACTATGTTCTATTTTTCAACTTTCTTACATAGGTACAGTTACGGAAAAAAGTAATGTCCATTTGAATGCTCCATTGTAATTGTTCGGAGGCATTCGGGTTTTGCTAATAAAATTAACATATTTATTTTTAAACTCAATAATTCTACCTACCTGCTATTTACCATTCTTTCTACGCACATTTCATTTGACTTTTAAGCTTTTATGCAATAATTAAATATTTAAGGAATAGCATTGATTCTGAAATAATTTAAATATAATATATGTTCTATAACTTATTAAATAAACTATTTATTATTTAATAAGTTGTTATTAATAAAATAATATATTTAAATGAAATATAGACATTTAATACTAAAATAATTATAAACTTTTGCATAATTTTGCAAATAAAATTGTTAATAATGTTGAATGTATTTACCTTTTTATGTGATTTTTTGTTACCTGGGCAATTTAAATTAAAATATTTTTTCTTACTACACTGAAAGAAATATATACTAAAGTTAAATAAAAAAATAATTAGGACAAATATATTTTATGTTTCATATATGGACTACCACATACATTGCTAAAACAAATATATTCGTTTGGTTAGCAGCCTATTGCTGCCCTAGCAATATAAATGTGTTTCTAGCAATATTTTATTGCTGTAATTCACTTATATTTTACATTTTATAGTAAGGGTAAGTTTATTTTTATTTAGATCTAACATATCTTCTTTACAATAAATGTATTACAAAATTTAACATACATTCATAATAAACAGTAGTATAAATGTGTAAAGCACTAGTATAAAACTTTTAGTATAAATTTGTATTTACTTTTAGCAACAAATTTCTTTCAGTGTATGTAAATTAAAGCCATTCAAATTTTAAACTAAAATGCATTTTGTGCTTATAAAAAGAAATGCACTATTAATACGTTTTTCTACTTCTATTGCATATTATTGACATTTTTTGTTTTTTTTTCGTAAATAATGGTAACCAATATAACCGCCCGGCCTATCAACGTGAATAATGAACTCATTATTCACGTTGTTAGGCATCAGTGATTGGCTTATTTCAATATTCACTGTTATTTGAACCAATCGGGTTTGAAGATAGAAAAAAGTAAGGTTGACAGATGTCAGATATATTTATATATACGAGGGGCGACTATAATGATCTTTAAAATCGGAGAAAAGTGAGGTCATAATAAATTTTATTATCAATGAAAATTATTTAATTGTAGTAGAAAATACATAGTATTACACAAAATTGTGAGAAATCAATGAAAATCCATCCATCTTTAAAATACAAAAATAATATGGAGATTATTTTTTTAGTCGTTTTGCATGGCACATAGACTATTTTTAAATGATAATATAATATTTGACCAAATTGGGTCCAAACCCTTTGGGAATACCATACTTTAACTATAATTATTAATGTAATTATTTACCATTTCTTTTTAAATAAAAAGGCCGCTTTCTTTGCTCATGGTTTAAGATAATATTTTCCTAAAAAAGGGTCCTACTAAATTTTACCATAAATTTTGTTTCGCTGAAAAAGTTTGAAAATCTTGAAAATTTCTATAAATTCAACTTTTACCTTGAATACCTTTTTAAAAAGCCCTACCAAAATTTGTTTTAGTTTTATTGGTCCACTAATCCGTTAGCGAGTTATACAATTTTAAAGTATTTTAAAAAATCTAATATTATTTTAATGGGAAATAAAAATTCCCGATGAGGGACCTGTAAATGTAATATTAAGAGCTTTCATTTTAACAGGACCATTTTTTTGAGATTCTGAACAATATTTTTGAGGTACTTTAAAAATAAATATTCGATTTTTTTGTATAAGTTTTATAATTAAATAATATTTTAATAAAAATAAACATAAATAAAAATACACATTAATCTACACATAATAAAAGAGCAATAAATAAATATGAAGAAATATATAATATAATATATTCTTATTCGAAACAACAATGACACAACTCAAAAATTAGTTTTGAGAAAACGCATTTAAAATTTCTTATTACTGTTTTCTATTTACGAAGCCCTGTAAATACCTATAGGTATTTAGCTTTTATATAAAAGCTGGACTCAAATATTTTGTTGTTTAGGCATACTCTCTAAAAAACTGTTAGTTTTGAGTTATGTCATTGTTGTTTCGAATGAGCGATATATTTTATAGTTTTATAATATTTATATATTTATATAATATATATTTTATAGTTTTATACCTATAGGTATATATAAATATATTTATGTTTATATGTTTTATAGTTTTTATATGTATGTAGGTATGTTATAGTTTTATGGGTATGTTAACTTTTACATTAAAATTATATTAAACATTTTCTGATAAATCCTAGTATATTTAATTTAAAAATATACCAAATATAAAAATTTTAAATATATGTTTTTAATTTTAACACATAAAATTGCAAACAAATAATAAAATGTGTTTTTTACTCCTTTGATGTAGAATAGTGCATTGAATCATTGCTAGTTCTGAAAAATGTAAAGTAAGTTTTAAAAAACTACAACTTGATAATATTATTTATAGCCTAAAAAGTTCTTGTTAAAAGTTTTTGCATAGAATAAATGTTTATAAAACTATACAAAAATATATCAAAAAATTAACGATTTAATAAAAATACACTTAAATATGTAATATACCCAAAATAATTAATTCAATACGAGCAGGTAGTAAATTCTAAATATAGACATATTTTTAAATAAATTTTAAGATCCAGATGTTGACTATTTCCGAACGCCTCCGAACAATTACAATGGAGCATTCAAATGGACATTACTTCTTTCCGTAACTGTACATAAGTATTTTTTTCTACTCCCACCTTTAAAACGCCCTTTATCGTACATGTTTCCTAACACTAAGTGACCTTTTAAATACACATTGACAAGTTGTGGCTTTATGGCGCTTTAGTCACGGGCCGAAGTTAGCAACAGGTTTTTATTCACGGGCTGAAGTTAGTTTTAAGTTAGTTGACAGTTGTCAAATGTCATACAATCGTTAAAATAAAGTGCCTTTCTTGTAAAATAATACTAAATGTGAAAATTATTTTATTATCTCAATACAAAAATACAAAGGAATTTAATAGTTTTTCAACGCCAATATTTGAAAAGTTTATATGAACATTGTACTGACCTTTTAATTTCGCCGGCAGTAAACTATAACTTAAATTCGGGCACGGACTCCACTGTAAAGTGCTCATAAAACATTTTCTTTACTTTCACTGTGAAAAACTGTCAATTTTCAAGAAATACATTTCGATTTATAACCTTTATAATTGTGTTTATAAAGTATATAAAAATTTGACATTTGACGGTGACACACAGATTCCCCTATTGTTTCATACTTAGATGGCGCACTATACAAATTTTTGATTTAAATCGTTTTGAGATAATAATAAGTATTTGTCGTAGAAAAAGTAAAGTATGCACCTCGTTTATAAACTTTTCTATACACTCATTAAATTAAGCACTCGCTCGTGCCTAAATTAAACTCGTGTATAAAATGGCGTCTATCAAACTTGATACATAATATACTATTCTGTATGTTTAAATAGCATTAAGTAGTGAATATTATTGCAAGTGGGAAAGCTACTTTTCTTTATTTTTTTATAGGGTTGCATTTAAAATTTTACAATTTTGTTAATATTTTTTATAAAAGCAAATGTACAAGAAATTTGAAAATAACCCATATATACATAAGTGAAAATGTGTATACCAGGGTTTTTTAGGAGGTCGCTGATTACAAATATTATGTTTAATTTTCAAATATGTAAAAAAATAAACTAAAAAAAAAACAAAACAAAAAAATATTATTTAAATTCAATATTTAATATTATTTAAATTATTTTTTCAATATTATTTAATTTTTTTTTTTAAATATGCTACCATGTACTTAATACCTAGAAGCCCATTTTTCTCAAAAAATAATTAAAAATAGTTACAAACTTTCAATCTTTAAAGAAACATTACAAAAATTAATAAAAAATAAGTTTTGAAATTCAATATCATTTCTAAGAAGTTGTTTTTGATGGTCGTTATAAATGTTCTAAATGCAAATTAGCAATATTTGTCTAATTTTTTCGCGTTTCCTTAATAAAACAACTTATCGTGATAAGATTTAGTGCGAAAACCCCGCCGACAGATTAGTAGTGTATAATCAGACTTCAATGCAAAATGGTTGCAACTCAATTATTGGATCCCGTAAGCAAATACATACATACATTATTAACATAATTCTTAACTTAAAATTATTTTTTTAAGATTTTTAAAAACTACTATTACGTCGAAGATGACAATTTTTCTAACAAACCCATGGAACATTGGGATTCAAAGGATGTCTGTAGTTTTTTGAAAAATTCCATTTTGGAAAATATCGAAGGTTTCGAGAATATTTCCAAAATATCTGGGATTACTTTTAAAGTTTTATCCGTGGATATGTTTCAAAAAATGGTTAATAATGAACGACTGGCACATAAAATTTATGATGCTAAAGAAAGTTTTTTGAGAAATTGTAAGTAGATAGGTATAGGTACATATATATTTATTAATTTTATGTTTTTTTCCAAACGTCAGTAATATGACTTAGGTGACATTTCGCAGAATGCCATGCCATTATCGCGTTTTAGAACGGGCTGAAGTTAGCAACAGGTTTTTAGTTATTGGCTGAAGTTAGCTGACAGTTGTCAAATGTCATACAATCGTTAAAATAAAGTGGCTTTCTTGTAAAATAATACTAAATGTGAAAATTATTGAATTATCTATACAATACAAAAATACAAAAGTATTAAATAGTTTCTCAACGCCAATATTTGAAAAGTTTATATGAACATTGAACTGACCTTTTAATTTCGCTGGCAGTAAACTATAACTTAAATTCGGGCACGGACTCCACTGTAAAGTCCTCATAAAACATTTTCTTTACTTTCACTGTGAAAAACTGTAAATTTTCAAGAAATACATTTTGATTTATAACCTTTATATTCTGTGTTTATACAATATAAAAATGTGACATTTGACGGTGACACACAGATTCCCCTATTGTTAAATAGATGGCGCTCTATACAAATTTTTGATTTAAATCATTTTAAGATAATAATAAGTATTTGTCGTAGAAAAAGTATAGTATGCACCTCGTTTATAAACTTTTCTATACACTCATTAATTTAAGCACTCACTCGCAAGCTCGCTCGTGCCTAAATTAAATTCGTGTATAAAATGGCGTTTATCAAACTTAATCTTTATCTACTCCTACATTGGGCTGTGAGTTTATGGCGTTTTAGTCAAGGGCTAAAGTTAGCAATAGTGGCTTTTGTGCCTTTTAGTCACGGGCTGAAGCTAGCTTTATTATAAATTGTCAAATGTTTAACAAATAAAATTGGCTTTAAATACTTCTTTATGTTCGTCTTAGATAAAACTAATGAATTAGGTAATATTGTTTTTAGTGGAGAAAAATAACAATAACAATAATAACTTGTTCACACTGGATAAAAATTTAAATGATGTTACTTCCACCCATTTTGGCTATAATGATATTTATAATAGCGAAAGTGATCTATGTATTGGTAAGTTTAATATATATTATAATATATTTATAAATTTTTGATTGATTATTTCACCCTATTTTTGTTTTTTTGTAGAAGAAATGTTTGAAGAAGAATATAAAGAAGTTCGTAACTATGATGCTGATAAACTCTCTAATAATTATAATAATGTTTTAGATTATGGTAAGTAAAAACAGTTCATTAAATTTTCCTAGTTACAAGTTCCAAAGTTGATCCTATTATAGGATTCCTATACAATTTTGGATGTAAGCAGTAATAATTTTTTGTCTAAAACTTGAATGGTAAGCTCAAAGAAGCACGTACTTTAAATGCACATAATATATATACAGGGTGTTTCATAATATATGCGCAGGACTTCAGGATGTGATAGCTCAACCAAAAAGATGAAAAAAGTCGCTATTAACTTACCCTCTAAAATGCACAATTTTCGAGATACAGGGTGTTAAAATTTTAGAAACAAAATCGTTTTTTTCGATTATCTCTGGAACCGTTTATCGTACAAAAAACAGCTTTTGTAAGCATTTTCTATTCATAATAAGCTATGTTTTGTGCCAGAAAAAAATTTTTTTTACTCATAATTGGTGGAGATTTTGAAGGGGTAGCGGGTGTTTTTCTCCTCAACTTCTACGCCCCTGAAAAAAGAGGCCCATTCGAACCGCCAATGTTTTCTACACAAAAAGGTAGCTCTAAAGTTGACCGTTTTCGAGAAAAATCAACTTTTATGTTTAAAAACATGGTCAATTTTTTGGAAAAAATTTTTTATTACTAATTAAACAAAATTTATTTTAACGTTAGGAAAAGTAACAAAACCAAACGATAATTGCAAAATTAAAAAAATAATAAAAAATGATTTTTTACACAAATGCTGAAATGTGCGAAATGCGTTACCTTTACGGTTTGGAGAATTTAGCAAAGACAACTTTTGAATCATTTTTTATTTTGCAATTATGGTTTGGTTTTGTTACTTGTTCTAATGTTAAAATAAATTTTGTTTAATTAGTAAAAAAAATATATTTTTTTTAAATTGACCATGTTTTTAAACATACAAGTTGATTTTTCTCGAAAACGGTCAAGTTTAGAGCTTATGACCAAGAGTACCTTTTTTGTGTAGAAAACATTGGCGGTTTGAATGGGCCTCTCAAAACATTACTTTTTTCAGGGGAGTAGAAGTTAAGGAGAAAAACACCCGCTACCCCTTCAAAATCTCCACCAATTATGAGGAAAAAAAATTTTTCTGGCACAAAACATAGCTTATTTTGAGTAGAAAATGCTTAAAAAAGCTGTTTTTTGTACGATAAACGGTTCCGGAGATATTCGAAAAAAACGAATTTTTTTCTAAAATTTCAACACCCTGTATCTCGAAAATTGTGCATTTTAGAGCGTAAGTTAATAGCGACTTTTTTCATATTTTTGGATGAGCTATCACATCCTGAAGTCCTGCGCATATATTATGAAACACCCTGTATATATATATTATATTGTATACATTATTTTCTAAAAAAATATCAAAATGTAACGGTTGCGACATTTGAACTTTTTATCGAGTTTTTTCTTAAAGCTAGCTTCTTTAGTACGAATATTTTAAGGTTATAATTTTTGTCCGATTTAAATGAACATATCAAAGTTTGTATACAGGTTATAACCTTATGTATTTACTTTATTGTGTTAAAATTTCAACTCAATCAAATGGAAATTGACAAAATGGCACTCCAAACAATAGCGCGTGTCAAAAATGATATTTTCGCTCTTGGGCCAGAAGTTCTGGCCCTTAAACAACTCTTTAAATAAATTCTGTAAGCAGCAATGTAAAAAATAAAAGATTAGTTAAAAGATTAATTTTTCACCTATTTTAACCATTTCTACAAAATTATAGCGATAATATGTGACTTAAAAAAGAAAACCAACAAATTATGGCAAAACTAATTAATAATTTATTTTTTAGTCGATAATCGGCCAGTAAAACCAAGGAAACCAGGAAGACCGCGTACTCATCCGCTGGTCAGTAAGAAGTGTGGTGAGTAGACTTATCCAGGCTTTTAATTATCGCCATTTGAAACCAAAAAACAATTAACTAAATGATTAACAAACAAACAAACACTTTTTATTTTGATATTAAATAGTAGGTAAAGCAATTTATTTTAACTTAAGTTTCAAATAGTCTATTATTATTAACTAATATAGCAAATGCACAACACTGCTAAATAAAGGATTAGACAAATCTACAATTTACAATTTCCATTTATTTTAATTATTTATTTAAATTTGCTGTAACCCCCCCAAAACGCTCAAGGAATCCCGCAGTATTTTAAGTAGCGAGAGAGCTAGGAGAATTTATTTTTAATTTATTAATCTTCAAAACTTTCATTTAAGTAAAAAATATTGTCAAGAATTATAATAATAATTTTATCCTTTTTTTAATAACTTTATAGTATGCCTAAAGATATAACTTTTCAAGTCTAAAATTTGACATTTGACGGTGACACACATAGTATGCACCTCATGTATAAACTTTTCTATACACTCATTAATTTAAGCACTCGCTCGCAAGCTCTCTCGTGCCTAAATTCGTGTATAAAATGGCGTTTATCAAACTTGATACATAATATACTATACCAGACATGACGTAATTTTAACGTTATTTTTAATTAAATATGTGATATTTAATTTGTTTTTATTACGTTATTCTTTTGGTAGTTTGGGTAGTTATTATGTAGAACAAGTGGAAATAAAATAATAACGTATTAAACAATCATCCCCCATATTTGGTAATTTTTCTTATTCGTTTCGTAAAAATAACTTAAAAGTCAACTAATATACTATGATTTGTAAAATATCTATAAGTATAAGTATAAGTAACCTAATATTGATAATTATTTAAAAAATCAATAATCAAATGTTAACACTTAAATTTATTGTAGGAAATTAAATATTTTGATAATAAACAATAAGTAAATAAACAAATAAAAATTCGTCTGGCTTATAAAATATATCTAATTCAATACTAAAAAAAATTAATAACAAGCAATATAGTTAAAAGATAAAGCTGTTTTTATATAGTTTTAGTTTTACTTCGTAAATGTATTAAGGTATAAAAAATCAGCGTTTAGTTATTAAATAATAATAATTAATTAAAGTTGTCTTATCCAATTATTGTATACATGTTATAACTGCTCATAAGATCATTTTTGAAAAAAAATAATGCAAAAATTGAATAGACGTGCTTTTGCATAATTTTTATTCAAAAAAGTTTATAAAAATCCTTTAAAATTAGGTAGTTTAGTAAATAATTAAAATCAAAAGATTTAAAAACATAGTTTTGCATCCTCCCTTTTCAAAGACCAAGTTTTTAAATATATTCTATTCTACAAATATTAACTTATGCATGGTTTACTTAGGTATGCTGTAGGCAGTGCAGTAATGTAAATAAATAGACGATGTGGTATCTACTCTGACAGTTTAAAAACCATATTCATAAATCAGTCTAAAAACATTTAAACAAAAACAATTATAGTTTAAACAAAGCGTGCTATCAGGAATTAAATATATGGAATATATAGGTATAATGGTGGTTTTTGGGTATACCAATGTTTCAGTTATTAGACATGGGACCCACACCAAATTTACAATAGTTTATAATGACATTAAATAGACAAGTTCGGCGTAAACAGAATTTAAATTAAAGGGCCATTCCACGCTTAACGGATAGGACAGTTGCCGTGTTTTTATTTACAAAATAATATTGTTCTATTATATTACCAATGTCAAATTTTTATAAATAGTTCTAAACTAAAGCTACCAATGTCAAATTTTTATAAATAGTTCTAAACTAAAGCTGTTTAACAAGGTTTTTATTTGGCAAAATTAGGTATCGTGATTGACTGTTTAATTCCTTAAAAATTAATAATTTAAAGCGTAACGGACGGGACTATTACAAAGTCCCGTCCGTTACGCTTTTAATTATTAGTTTTTAAGGAATTAAACAGTCAACCACGATACCTAATTTTGCCAAATAACTAACTATTTATAAAAATTTGACATTGGTAATATAATAGAACAATATTATTTTGTAAATAAAAACACGGCAACTGTCCTATCCGTTACGCGTGGAATGGCTCTGAAGTTTAATTTTTTTTTTATTTTAATAAAATAAATAATAAAAATTTAAAATTGAATAAAATCTGTAATATTTGGATTTTTTAAATAAAATTTTAAATTTGTCTATAAATTATAGTAGATAATAAATTACACCACTTTAATTTGAATGATCTCACATAGGGGGGCCTGGAGGCGGGTGAGGCAACAGGTAAAACTAACTTTTTTTCGCAAACTTCAATTTAAATTCTGTTTGCGCCGAACTTGTTTATTTAATGTCATTATAAACTATTATAAATTTGGTGTGGGTCCCAGGTCTAATAACTGAGATATTGGTATACATAAAATGCACCAGCCGCGACTGTATATATTATATACATATGTACATATATATTACATATGTATGTATGTAATACATACATACATATGTATTCAAGCTACTACTAGTAAATTAACAAAGATGAATCATCTTAATTGGTTGACACCTATTATAATATTATGAAGCATAAAATTATTTTGTGGTCTAAGAAAATGGTAATTAGTAATAACTAACTAATTGTCCCGCAAACGTAACAAGTAAACCATATTTCACGAAATGTAAACAAAACTTATTTTTTTGTGGTATTCCTTTCATAAAACCAATAATGCTTTTAAATTTTGTATCCAAAATAAATATAAATATAAATACATACATTCAAGTGCATTTTTCTTGGTAATCAGATAAAATTTAACGTTTTATTTATCTAGCAAGTAAAATAAATTTTGCATTGAACAAACATATTTAACAAGCCATTTATTGTTAAAGGTTTAAAGAAAGAAAAACTTTGGGAATTCCTGATTCATTTATTGCACGACCCCAAATCATGCCCATCCCTTATTTGCTGGGAAGATTACCATCAAGGTACCTTTAGATTTGTCCAAAATGAACAGGTGGCCAAAATCTGGGGTGGAAGAAAGAAGAATCAGAACATGACTTACGATAAGTTCAGCAGGGCCATGAGGTAAATAAATATTACACATAATTAATGGTGGGACAAATTCGCACAGTGGCATAAATTTAAAAAATGGTGGGACAAATTCGCACGTTGGGATAAATTTTAAAAATGGTAGGACAAATTCGCACATTGGGATAAAAAAAATATCAATACTAAATTTTTAAATAAACATGAACACTCACAGGGTTATTTATTTTTATTTTTTTTGTAATTTTGCATTTTCATGCTTTAAACAAAGCCCTATTTTTCTAGGTATTATTACAAAAGTAAAATACTTCTACCTGTTCGGGGTCAACGATTAGTCTACAAATTTGGACCACAAGCCAAAGGGTGGAAAATGGAGTCATCAGAAAACTATTGAGACAGTTTTATATAAAGTTCATTTTTTTTATCTGGACTGCGGCAACGTTGCAAATTTAGGGTTTTGGTTGGTAAATACAGTTGTCAAGTTGGTCGCATTGACTAAAACAAACTAAGCTAGTTATAAATCTAATTGTGGTTATGTATAAATTATTGTAGGTTACATTGTGCAGTTGTCAAGTTGAGTTGTCGAAATTCTTAGTTAAAAATGCAATTAATTTGGCTTTGGTGGTGCTTGGATGAGTAAAATCATATAAAAAAATAGTTAAATATAGGTTGCTTTACGGCCCAGACGAGAAAGTATTCCTAGCGGATAATAATCTTCGCTTTGAAAAGAATTTATATAAAAGAAATTAGAATTTTTTCTGAACGTAAATGTTGTCCTATGTAATGTGTGATGTAATATTTATAAAACCACTTTTTTACTCCAAAAATGTCCATAAGGCGATGTACTTTTTCTTCCATTGTGGCATTTAGCATAATTTCACCAAAAGTTTTGCCCTCAAAAGGGGTTTTACATTCGAATTCGTTGCTATTATTTTTGGCATAATTATCTTTTTATTTATAATTGACAAGTAAATTATCAATAATAAATTATTATTATTATTGTCAATTTGACAGTGTCAAAGTATTTAATTAAATTCTTTAGCAGAAGTACCATTTTTAAATACTAAAAATACCAAGTCAAACTGGCATAAGCCACCAACCTAACAAAAAAAAACGAGTCCAGATAAAGAAAATGAACTGTATATAATAATTTACAGTTTTAGCTTTCATAATAATTGATCTTAAAATTATTGAGAATCTCAATATAGGTAACCTAATTTTATAGGGTTTAAACAAAAAAACAAAAATACATTTCTATTTATATTTATTATTGATGATATGTCCACATAAAAATAAATGAACTATGTATTTATTGTAATTATAAAATAATTGTATTTCGATTTTTTATTACATATTAAGATTAGGTATGTATATCACACATTAATTTTTATATAAATTTTTCGATTTTTATTAAAATGTTACTTTAACAAAAAATTTTATAAGCTTTACAGTGTGTTATAAATTAAAAAAATAAGTACTGATTTTTAAGTATTGCTATTTACAATTTAAGATATTGAAATTATTAAAATATACATATTTCTTAAAATTAAAAATGTAGTTTTATTTGTATGGTGTTAATGTCAATTAGTACTAAAAAATAAATATTATAGATACTATGAATATTATTTTATCACAGTGTACATAAATAATTTTAATTTAAAATAATAAACAGCCTATTTACAGTGAAACAGTGACAAAATATGTTGCTATTATATTTAATTTAAATAATAATCTATAAACATTTGAATTTTTGCGGTTTTAATTTTTATTTTGACTATGTCCAGTCAAACCGTCGTTTGACCTTGCGTAAGTTTATCAGGGCTTATTTGAAAAGCATATAAAACCAAACTTGCACCACCTGACATTCTTTTTACAAAAATATTCGTATAAATACATTTTTTCAGTTTTAGTGAATGTCTCGTATTGCACAATAAAAAGTAAAAAGCACTATTTTTTAATAAAAAATTGTATTTAACTTGAGGTGTCAAAAAATTTGGTTATGATTGCGTTTACTTTATTCGTAAATCTTGACACGCCTATCATATATACTAACATACCACTCTAAAATATATAGGCATCAAAATATAATTACATATGTATAAATAAATAAAAATTATAAAAATCAAAAATACGTTTAAAAAAATATTTTGGGGGCACCCTATTATAATAAAGTTAAATCTAAAATACTTTTTTATATTTGGTCGAGTTCATCGTAAAAACTTGATTAACAACAAGTATTTTGAGAAAATTATTTGTTTAGATTTTGGTTTTACCTAAAATAAAATATTTTTTATTTTTTCAGAAACAAAAATCAAGTCAAAAAACTTGTGTTAATATTATTGTCATTATGTTCGTTTTGTTACTGAATCAAACTGAGAAATTGTAATCAAGTAGATTTTTTTATCACGTACAGGGTGTGACTGAAGTGACGCACCAACACTAAATTTGCTTTGTACTCTCTAAAAATAAATTTTTCAAAAATGACTAATTTAATAGTTATTAGTAGCTGTTTTTTCACTTGTACCATGGTTAGCCATAGAATACCATGGTATCCCAAAATTTAACAGCCAATTCTTATGTAAAATTGTCCCCTGAATCCGAAAATACCGTCAAAAATTATGAAACTGGAGCAGTGTTTGAGATATGGTCAATTCCATATTAAATGGAAAATTGACTTTATCTCAAAAACTGTTCTACTTTTTTAAATTTTGACATTTTCGGATTCAGGGTATAATTTTACATAAGAATTGGCTGTTAAATTTTGGGATACCATGGTACAAGTGAAAAAGCAGCAACTAACTATTAAATTAGTCATTTTTGACTAATTCGTTTTTAGAGAGTATATACTATGTTAAAAGGCAAATTATAGAATATAAAATTAAAAATTTCAGCATTTATGGCTGTCATAACCATATTTAAAATGGAAATCTCATTAAAGCCATGAACAAAAACTGACCAGAAATAATTTTTATCAAAAAAATTTCAGAAAAATCAAAATTGCCAATTAACCGTAGACAATAAAATGAGGGGTGGCATATTCTGGGGGTTTTGAAATCAGGAAAAAACTTTTTTTAAAATTTAAGTTTTCTGAGAAATGTAAAATAAATTTTGTTTTTTTCTTTATACAAGGTGTTTCAGATTCGTGGGACATTAGAAGTTTCTGGGGAGAGATAAAACATATCGATTGGGAAATTTTAAAAGCGTTGATAATCCAAATAAGTCTATTTTTCAAAAAATATTTTAAACAAAATGTCACTTCCGATTAAACCGGAAGTGGCATTTTGTTCTAAATATTATAGAAAAAACACAGCAAACGGAAAAATATGGAACTGTATAGGATGACTCCGCGTTTAAATACTAAATCTTAAAGTTTTATCAGAACTGTATTGAATCGTGCTTTGTTTTTATATTTTTCGGCTCTATACCTATGCACAACTATATTTAAAGTCAAACTCAATAGTGTCTTACAAGATACATTATTTTGATTTTCTATATTCAACAGAGAGGTAGAAACTCGACCCTGTCGAATGGTGCAGTCATTTATGTCTCTAGAAATTATTGAAAAAGGGTTCAGTCCAATGGTGCAGCAACTTCGGATTCCTATCCTCTTCAGAGACATAGAAACTCAAGCTTTTCGAATTTTACTGGGAATGATTTTCGTTAATGTCCCCGAGAATTATACAAAAACAGCACAATGCAATATCGCAACGGTTTCGACTTCTCTTTACTCTACCAAGTTATAGAAACTGGAGTCTCTCTAATACTGTTCTAGTCAATATTTCTGAGAGTATAAAAAGAGGGTGTAATATTGCAAGAAGTTTTGATCTTTTGATGGATGCAAGTAGTTTGAATTTTCTCATTTCTATTTTTATTTACCGTAACAACTCAGGTATGTAAAGCACAGAGGATATGATGTTAAGTATATTTATGTATTATATAAAGTACCTATTTGTATTAAAAATTTCAGAGGATATGTTGAAAAAATGATCGATATGCTATTAAACTTTAATAATTTAGTAATGAGGTCTGTTGGTAGATCCTGCACATCTCCACTGGAAGTTTTATGTTAGTTCAGCAATATTTAAATCTGGTTGATCAAAAAGTATACATCAGTGCAGGTTATTGTAGCATCTACGAACAAATGAATTAATGGCCCATTGGCAATTATTCCTTTAGGAAAAATTTTCAACACAGTTTAATTAATTAATAAAATGAAAAAAATCATGTCGTATACAGGGACCCGGACCGAAACCGAAAAAAACCGAAAACCGGAAACATATATATATATATATATATATATATATATATATATATATATATGTGAGGTTATAGATTAAAATTACGTAAAACAAATAACCTCACTGGAACCCCTTAAAACCGAAAAGAACCGAACCGTTATAACTCCACGAAACCGAAACCGGAATCGGAACCATTAAAACGAAAATAGGGTGAACCAAAACCGTACCGGAACCGATATTTCATTTCGGTCCGGGTCCCTGGTCGTATATAGTTTTTTTTGAAGCATAAAATAAATTTCATTTTAATACTAGTTCAAAAGTGAAATTACGACCTCTATACTGTGGAGAGTATTGAAACGCTCGACTGACGAATACAAATCTATACCGTGGGGAGATTTAGAAAATTATATTCAAACGTGGCGTCATCCTATACACTTCTATAATTTTCCGTTTGCTGTGAAAGACTTAAATGGGTTATAAAGGCTTTTAAAATTTCAAATCGATATATTTTTTCTTTCCCCATAAACTTCTAATGGACCAAGAATGTGAAACACCTTGTATATGACTAGAAGTTAAAATAAAAACAGGCCAATTTGATTGGCTCTGACTAATCCAAGGCAATTGGTTTTTTAAATTATTAAAAAACGACACATTCCATTGTAGGACCCTGTATTATTAACCCCATTGTAGTTGAGCTAAACCTAACCTAAACAATGTTGCAAGCGTGCGTTTGAAACCTCTGGTTCCTGCCGGAACCGAACCCGGAGCAGCACTGCTGATGGCTGTGATGATTGTTGGGCTTGCTGAAAGGCTGGCTGTGAGAGGAGCTCATCGAAACGCCTTGCTTCCCGCATATGTCCCCGTCGCTGATAGAAGCCCTCGGCGCCATCTTGGGGTTGCCGCACTTTTTCTTCGCGTAAATGTGCATGCACTTGCCGAACTCGTAGGTCTCCACTTCCGAGGCCTCCTTAGTGCCGGGCTGCGGCACGCACGTCACGGCCAGCGGCAGGTTGTTTATCAAGACGCCCGGCGCGCTCGTCAGAGGCGCGGTTTGCGACGTTGTCGATATCTCCTGCGCGCTCACGGAGCTGTGCAGCGACCGAGGGGGCGCTGTGGTGCATCTGCCTCGGAAAGGCTCCTGATTGGACGAGATCGCGTCGAGTTTGTCGAAGTCGCTGTGGTCCAGGACCATGGAGCCGAAGAAGTCCGCCGGGTTGCAGAAGGAATGGACTGCCCCTGCTGAGTTGCTTCTGCATTCTGAAAGAAGGTTTTGCTTTTAAAATTCTGAATTCCATATGCACATTAGTTTCTCCGTTATTTACCAAATTGTCTGTTTTCACTTGGGTATCGTTTAAATTGTTAGTTTACAATTTTGAAAAAAAAAAATTTCCGATGCCGCTTAACCCTACCTAAATGACAATAGTATACTTTTCCAGGTTTTGCACTTTTTGGAAATTAATTTTTTTCTTGTTTATTATATTCTTACCAAATATTGTTTAATATGCTTCTATTATGATCCCTTTGGAGTCATTCCAAATAAAAACACCAAATGGGGTGATCTTTTAGGTATCAAATATGAAAATCCGTTGTCGTTTTAATTTTTGGATTCTTTACTTTTAATCGGCACGATTAAGAAATCTGAAATCGTGTCAATTTCTTACTCTCTTATAGTGGGCCAGAACTTTTTTTTGTGACAAATATAAACCACTAAAGATTCATGATAATTTGCCAATTTTCGTGATAATTTTTAAAATTAGTCAATTTTGCCCTCAGAAATCATTATGTTGAGGAAAAAATAAAAATCTGAAACTTTCAGGAAATGTAATCTCCATCTTCATCTTTTTAGTCTTGTTTTGTTATTTTTATTCCTTTAAAAGATATATTAATTTTTTTAATGCCCGTTTAGTAGCGATATTGTTAGTTTTATTTATAATTCAAAATTTAGATGGCTTTCATGTTTGGTGGAGAAGTGTCTAGATTTAGCAGAATAGGCACAGGAGCCAGACAAAAATCACAAAAATTGGCAAATTATTTCAAATCTTTAGTATTTTACCATTCTTTTATGAGATGAACTAATTAGATAATAATAATTAATATTGAAAACATACTTACTAGGCAGTAAAATAAAATTACAATAATTTCAATAATTGCCACAGAAAAAAAGTTTTAGCCTCTTATAAGAGAGTAAGAAAATGGGACGATTTCAGGTTGCTAAAGGGTGCCGATTAAAAATAAAGCAACTAAAAATTAAAACGGCAACGGTTTTCATATATAATACCTAAAAGATCATCCTCAAATTTTTTCATTAAAATAAAAAATCATGCAGCGCACTTTTAAATTCATTTTTGGTGTTTTCATTTGGATTAACTCTTTGGGTAAAAAATTTTGATATTGACTTCAAAAATTTATTCCGAAAATTTTAATAAGGAAAAACTTATTTTTGCCGTTTTTTTCCAATAATTTTGTTTAATTTACCGACCATTCAATATTTATTCTGTATATTTTATACGCTTTTAGCATTGGCTTTATAATGATTGTAAATCATAAATCATTCATGGTTTATTTTAAATAACCTATTAAAACCTAAAATCAATGTTTTTTCATACGGCCCTTGGTGATTTAAAACATTTGACTAAAGTGAAAAATACTTTTCCTAAGTTCATGGTCAAGCGATAAATGGTGTTAGACTATAATTGGTAATTTTAAATAAACTATATCATAAAGTCTGTCTCCTCGTTCCCACCTCCTTTTGTTCCTAATGGGCGTATAGCAACGGCCCCGGCGAAACCGGGAGAGGCAATTAAAACTATTCGCATGCCGCTCTCGAGCCTTAAAATGGTACAGTACCGGCCGCGGTGGACATTCGCACCCAGCAAACACGGGAGAAGCCGTGCAGTTGCTGGTGGCGGTAAAAAATATGGTAACAAAGAAATATAGAATAAAAAACTTCCATATATTGACACTTGCTATTTGTAGAACAACAAAAAGCAATAATAAACTGAAGTTTATGAAAATTTCTTCTATAAACAGTGTTTGGGGTGTGCCAAAAAAAGAGTTATTTTTTTTTTCATGCTCTCACCCCAAAATCTCTCAGAGAATGCTCAAATAAAGTTTCTGTTAAAAACAGAGATTCATATTCAAATTTTAAGAGGTTCTCCATCGAACTTTTTTTTATGAAAATACATAAATGGACCTTTTTTATCATTAAATTTACTACAAAAAGTTCTATGAAGTCAAATTTTTATCTTCAATACTTGATTTTTGACAGAGCTTTAAACTTCAAATTATCGGTTTTCTGCATTTTTTAGCTATACCATAAGAGTTAGAGAAAAATGTTAAATAGCCGATTTCTAGAACGTTTAAAATTCTACAAAAAAGTCCTGATCAACTTTTTTGTATCACCAATAGCTACAAAGTTATAGCCCTACAAATATTCATTTTTTCAAATTTTTCCTTCTACGAACTAAAATATCGATAATTAAACCAAAACTTCGATACAAATTCACTATAACATCAAATTTGCAACAAAATAAAGAATATAAAGGATACGTCAAATAAAATAATGTGATCTTACCTCTACCATTGGACATATGTTTTATGGGAGAGCTAGCTATACTCCTTGCTGCCACATCCTCAAACGTTATGGGAGAGTAAATCCCACTCCTAGAGTCAATTTTCTTCAAAGGGCTCTGCTGGGGCACCACAGCCTTCTCCAAGTTCTCCTTGGTGCTGAACTCGACAAACCGCTTCGGCAAAGGCTTCCTGGCGTCCTTACCTTGCAACCAATACGTTTTCATGTTGCCTTTACCTTTGATTTGTATTTCGCCCCGTTCGGAGATTTTGTACGATTTCGGCAGACATTCTTGCGTGTACTGGGAGATGTGAATCTTCATGGATTCGCTGCTGGACTCCATGCGAGATGCCGTGTTTACGCTGTCTCCGAAGAGACAGTACCGGGGCATTTTCAGGCCAACTATGCCCGCAACGACTGCGCCAGAGTGCACCCCCACCCGTATTCTCAAATGCTGACCTGGAAATGAATAGTATGGCAATGATTTAATACTTTTTCTTTTAATAAAGGGGTTAACAAATACTGTAATATATCATATTTACATATATATATTTATATAAATATATATACAGGGTGTTATGTAATTAATGTTATATATTAAAATACTGAATACCTTTTGACATAAGGAATAAAGGAAAAATATTTAAAAAAACATTTTTCCAAAGATAAAGAAAAAATATGCATTAGAAGTTTTTTATATTTTTTGTGATACGCCACTGGTTACACACTTGTTTATCTCTGCACACCTGTATTTTGTGAGTACATAGATACCAACCAACAAAGTAGCTATGCGTTGCCAGATGTAAAAAATTGTTACTAAAAATTTTTCTTGCAAAAAATAAATAAAAACTCAATAAATACAAAAGTTTTATGCCCTTAAAGCTCTAATACCCTTCTGTATTTATTTACTGATCTAGCTATTAGCTTAATAGTCTAAGATCCCAAGTAAGGTCGACCTTCACCCATCTGCTTACCAGATGAAAATTATATTTTATCAAATAAAATATGTTTCTGAACATAAACCAATAGGGTTGCCATAAAAAATATGATCAAGGCTAGCTATAATAAATAAAAAATTAAAAAAAAAATAATTAATTTTTTAAATTTCACCGACTTGCTTGCCAAATAAACGAAATTCCAATGGAAAGCATACAACATACAGAATATGTAACAGCTAGGTTGCCTACCTTTTTCTGGTCCCTATTACCTGGTTGCTTTGTACAGGGTGATCCCCTATAATGTCGCCCCCCTTTAACTTTTTTATTTTAAGTGTCCCAAAAAATTTAAAAGTGTGGTTATGTAGGAACTAAAAAATACTTTTTTTCTACGTATAAAGAAAATTGGAAAATTGATAAGTATACAGGGAAAACAAAAAGTTTATTTTTTTCAATGGAAATTTCTCACCTGTTGATGGATCCTTAAGATCAGTTATGGCGTCCACCATGTCCAAAGCCATGTCGCAGACTCTCTGGGCATGTTTTCCTTCTTTTTCTGGGGCTCCACTAACCACCATGTAAGCGTCTCCAATGGTCTCCACCTGATGGGACCGTTTTTGGTACAGTTCATTTTTTTATCTGGACTCGTGTTTTTTTGTTTTTTTGTTAGGATGGTGGCTTATGCCAGTTTGACTTAGTATTTTTAATATTTAAAAATGGTACTTCTGCTAAAGAATTTAATTAAATACTTTGACACTGTCAAATTGACAATAATATTTATTATTGATAATTTACTTGTCAATTATAAATAAAAAGATAATTATGGCAAAAATAATAGCAACGAATTCGAATGTAAAGCCCTTTTGAGGGCAAAACTTAATTTTGATGAAATTATCCCAAATGCCACAATGGAAGAAAAAGTACATCGCCTTATGGACATTTTTGAAGTAAAAAAGTAACGAATTTGGTTTTATAAATATTACATCACACATTATTTTCACATTATTCTCCATTGGACAACATTTACGTTTACAAAAAATTTTAATTTCTTTTATATAAATTCTTTTCAAAGCGAAGATTATTATCCGCTAGGAATACTATCTCTTCTAAGCCGTAAATCAACCTATATTTAACTACTTTTTTTATATGATTTAACTCATCCAAGCACCACCAAAGCCAAATTAATTGCATTTTTAACTACGAATTTCGACAACTCAACTTGACAACTGCACAATGTAACCTACAATAATTTATACATAACCACAATTAGATTTATAACTAGCCTAGTTTGTTTTAATCAATGCGACCAACTTGACAACTGTATTTACCAACCAAAACCCTAAATTTTCAACGTTGCCGCAGTCCAGATAAAAAAAAAACTTTATGAAAAAGCCATACGAATAATAGTTGTGCCACAAATGCAAAAATAATAGAGGAAAAACTTTCTTATTTAAGGATGACAACTTATTTGGTGACACCCTGTATGGAAAGTGCAAAAATGTGTTTTTGAGGAATTTTATTAAAAATGGCGAATTTTTCAGTTCTGGAAAAATCTGGTGAATCAAAACTTATTGACAGATTGATCTGAAATTTCTCCCAAAAATTTATAATTGTTGATCCATCTTTAAGAAAATCGAAGGGCTTGTCAATATGTATTATATTACGTAAAAGTTGTGTTAAAATGCGTCTGAACCGAGACGGGATAAACATCTATTAAAATTCAAATACAAACATACCTTTTCAAGTATTTCTTTTTATACGTCTGAAAAATATGTTTAAAATTCGAAACCCTTGTAGACTTAGCATACATGCTTATGTAAATAAGGGAGAGAAGAAGTGATGAAAAGGATAAAAATGAATCTGATCCTACTTTTAAAAACAACGCAACATAAATAAAAAATATTCGGTGTAAAATACGAAACAATGAACAAAGAAAGCAAAACAAAAAAAAACAAATTATGTCTCTTCCAAAACTCAACTTTCAACTCCTATAAAATTTGATATATCCACATCATTTTCCCAGTGGGTACTTACTTTGTACACTCGGTTTCTTTCTGTCAGCTTGTCGAATATCGAATACATCGCGTTCAGCATCGATACGACTTCCATGGGAGTTATCCGGCTGCAAATTTCCGTAAATGTGACAACGTCGGAAAACAGAATCGATACGCTGTCGAACATCTGCAACAAATGACAGTTATATTGTCAAATGGGGTAGTTAAATTTTTTCTGACCTATACTTTTTATGGTTTTATTCAAGGCGTTTTGTAATTTTAAACATCTCTGTGAAATCGGAATTTACCGTTTTCGAGATATTTACAAAAAAATCTCCTAATTACGTCACTAGGCTATTGACAACGTTGCCAGCTTTTTCTATGGTTGCCAGTGTGTTTAGTTTAAGATTCTTACGATAGATGGCGCCACGTTATAATATTTTAGTTTTAAAACCACTTGATCTATAATTTTAGTTGAGAAGAAGAAGAAGAATTGATTTTTTGACGTTTCTTTTTTCGGGTTATGTTTTTTTTTTAAATTTAAATTATTGAAAATCAATGTTATTGTTATGTTATTTGTAATTGATATTAGATAAGTGATTTATTAATAACGGACTCCAAAGCAGAGGAATCTTGTGGAATGGTTGGTTACATTGAACATTGGAGCTTTTAAACAAATAAAGTAAGTACCTATAATTATAATCATATTTTGTCGTAAATGCATTTCATTAGTATAATGCCTGGTTCTTTATATTCTTTTAGATATATCAAACAGTAATATGATACCTCGTAATAAGGAAGATAGGTACTTAATGAATTTGGTGACCATCTTTCACTCAACTGACAGTGACAGTATTTGTACATAACCTCTTCGGGTATTTTCTGACATAACCGAATGAAATCATTAACAAGACAACTTGACAACAGGGTAATTTTCAACCAATAGAAATCTTAGAATGTTGGTCACATGGCGAGGTTTGTTACGTCATAAAAATTTATATTTTTTGTAAATATCTCGAAAACGGTAAACTCAATTGAAATTCTGATTTCACAGAAATGTTTAATATTACAAAACGCCTTGAATAAAACCATAAAAAGTATAGGTCAGAAAAAATTCAACTACCCCATAGGCTGGGCAAAAGTCAAATTATTACCTCACAAGTATCGATGGGATTCTCCCCTTTCCTGAGCCTATCAGCCACCTGCTTGGGTATCATCTGGTACAGGAGCTCGTCGGTCCTCCTCATCTCCTCGTCCAACTTTCTCATGGACTCCTCCAACTTTTTTGATTTCTGTTGCTCCTGATCCAGCGCCAACTTCAACTCTACGGATTGCTGCGTGCCGGCTAGCATGAGGTCGCGACTGAAATCGTGCATGGAAAGGTCGTTGATGTACAGCCCTGATATTATGAGCGAGTTCAGGTCGGGCATTACCGGCGTCCCCAGGTACATCATCATCTTCCAGTTGTCCATGTAGACCATTTGCCCTGGATAGGGGGGAAGAAAGGTTGATGAAAAGCATATCGAAAATATGGTTTGGGTTGACAAAAAAAATTGTTGTGAAAGTTTGAGTCCATAATATTAATTTTAAGAGGTCTACCATCACAATTTTAGATTTTTTTTTCCTGAGCGAGTTTTTGTCTCAGAACTCCCAAACCATTGAGTTTAACAAAATTGACTTAGGAATATTTTTTTAAGAAAATTGAGGGCCGGTTTTTCAATCATGCCTTAAAAATTGGTGTAGTTTTACAATTTGACCTTTTAACTTTGGAATTTTGTAATTCATGGAAAAAACCGATAAATATTCTTATGGAAAATCAAATGCTCTACAAAAAAAGTCTCCTAACATTTTTGGCTAAATTCACTCCATCAAAAGTTATTCAAGGTTAAATTTGAAGTCAAAACGAAATTCTTGGTTTTTCCACTCTAGATTTTTTTTGGGTCAGTTAAAAACTTGAATTCTTTTTTTTTTTAAAGTTATTTTATTTATTTCGTTTTAAGAAGCTACTTTCTTTAGAAAATTATTATTTTCACTGTTTACCTATTTGTTCACTGTTCACCTATTTAATCGTTTAAATAATAACAATCATATTGTTTTTTTATTGGAAATTATTAATTAGTTATATAATACACATTTATAAAGAAAAAAATAAAATTATCACCCATAAAAAAATAAATCTACACAGGAAAAAATAAGAATTTCGTTTTGACTTCAACTTTAACCTTCAATAACTTTTGATTGAGTGAATTTAGCCAAAAATGTTAAGAGGCTTTTTTTGTAAAGCATTTGATTTCCCATAAGAATTTTCATAGGTTTTTTTCTGGGTACTGATTTTTACATGAATTACAAAATTCCAAAGTTAAAAGATCAAAATGTAAAACTATACCAATTTTTAAGGCATGATTTTAAGGAAACGGTTCATCTGACGGAAAATTTCACTTTAACCTTTTTTGTAGAGCATTTAATTTTCTTAAAATATATCTTAGTCTTAGTTGTTAAACTCAATAGTTTGGGAGTTTTGAGACAAAAACTCGCTCAGGAAAAATTGCGATGATAGACCTCTTAATATTAATATTATGGACTCAAACTTTCACAATAATTTTTTGTCAACCCAAACCATATTATCGATATACTTTTCAAAAAAAAATAGTTGATTTTTTGGCCCAGTTTAATACACACACAACCAATCTAATATGGAATTACCCAGTAATTACGAGAAACACTATTTTAGTTGTATTACAAAAAAAGATTTTGTATTGAACCAATTGCAAAAGTCAGGAAAAATTAGATGCCCGAATGGTATTTGACAAGACTATTTCATGAGTAACAGTTATTCTGCATACACATAGCTTACAAAACATACTACCTATTAACAGAGCTGGGAAAGTTACTTCTGAAAAGTATCTAGTTACTTTTCTTAGATACTTTAAACAAAATAACTTAGTTACCTCTGGTAACTAGATACTTTGAATTAAAAGTATCTAAGAAACTATTCAAAAGTATCTAAGATACTATATGAAAGTATTTAAGATACTTTTGAGTAACTAGGATACTTTTGAGTAACTAAGTTAGTTTTAAGTTTGAATAAAAACTATAAAATTATATATAAATAAAAAATCGGTATACAAATTAATAAATATTTATTTTTAATATAAAATAAAATACCTATTTTGGATTGTGTTTTTTACTTAGTATTTAATACTAATTACTAATTAGGTACTTAAGTAAGTACATTATAGGTAGTTTATGTTATATTTTACTATTATATACGTAACTGAACCAAATATGCTTAACAGGAATATTCCTAAATGAACTTTCTATAGCAATTACTTTCTTAACATTCTAAGCATATGTTTAGAGTAGACTAATTTTTACCACTAAAACTTTGCACCTTCTAAGAACCTGCCTATAGGCCAGTTAGAATATTCTTAGGATCATGCTTTATGTCTTTTAAGCATGTTCTTTAGAAGAAATATAGCATGATCCTAAGAATATTCTCACTGGAAGGTTTAAAAACATTCTTAGAATAAAGTGTGCTATCAGCACTTAAATCTTGCAATACCAAGATTGTACATTTTGCAGTAAGATTGCATTCCTTACTAGAGGTTGAAACACTGATTATTAAATTAACAAAAACCTTTTTTCCTAAATTCTAATTTATTGTAAAGTTTATTCTCAGAGAAATTCACATTTTTTGTAATGTGTTCTCTAGAAAATTTGTTTTAATTAATTTTTCTTTATTTTTGTAATAAAATTGGTTTAGATAAAGTGCTTTTTATTTCCAAATCACTTTTTTTTAAGTGTAATAATGTTTCTGGTAATTACTGGGTGATTATGACATTGTGTGTGTGTACGTTTTTTTCTTTACCTTTGAGTCTTAAGTTTTTATCCTCAAAATTATCAATTTCTTCCGGCAAAGCTAAAGCCTGTCTTTGACCATCACTGGAATGTTGCTTATCATTTATTATGGGCTCCACGGTAACCAATTCGAAAATATTATTCGTCCTGTTAAGAATCTAAAAAAAATTCATAAAGTGCGGTTAAATAATTATTTTAATGTATACGAGGTGTGTTCAGAATATCGGGAATTTTCGTTTTTTGAAACAAATATTTATTTATTCGTCTACATTAATGTTGTTGCCTTCAAAATAGTCCCCATTGGATATTATGCACACCGGCCAGTTCTTCTTCCAATACTCGAAACACTTCTAAAACTCGATCTTTGAGATAGCCCTTTGTTCTTTTAGCGATGCGCTTTTAATGTCATCTATGCTTGCAAAACGACGGCCCTTTAAGGTTCTCTTTATTTTTGGGAATAGGAAAAAGTCAGACACAGGCATGTCTGGCGAATATGAAGGCTGGGGCATCATTACAGTATTGTTTTTGGCCGATAATTTTGTTCAAAATTTAACAATTTTGGAACAAATTTTGCTGTCACGCGTTTCATACTCAAACATTTGAAAAAATTTCATGGGATGAGCCAATCGATATACCAACATCATCAGCGACTTCTCTGATGGTTTATAACCATTTCTTCCACTTTTTCCATGTTTTTATCGGTTGTAATGTGCTTGTGCGTTCGGGGCGTTCGTCATCTTCCACGTTTTCACGGCCATCTTGGAAACTCTTATACCACTTGTAAACCAACTCTTGTTTTACTTATAGCAGACTCACTATAGGCCTTTGTTAACATTTCACAGAATTTATTTCATTTTTTTAAGCAAAATTGGATACAAATTCTCTTTGATCCATTTCTTTTAACGAACGATAATCGCCGAGCTCATAAAACACGTCTAACCTTAGCGGCTGCCACAGACAAAGTAAACAATGAAAACAGCTAAAGTTTTTATCATACTTCGGGGGCATATATACCAACATAATGAATAAAACTTTATGACAACCGGACCCTCCGAAGCCGCGAAATTTAACAATTCCCGTTATTTTCTGAACACACCTCGTACATAAACATTGTATATCTGGTAACATTGATTTTTTTTAAAACTTGGAAAGCTTCCTTTTGTTTGGTAAAACACGAAAGATATGAACATTTTCAAATTAGTTGAGAAGAAACCTACAGCATTCTCTTGGGTTTCATATTTATCATCGCAAAATATAAAGTAACAATTATTTAGACCCAAGATTTATGGCTTCTCTCTTGGGCACTTTATGAGTTTAAGGATCAAACTTTATCCCGAGGGATTTTGTGACCTTTAACATGGCCACAAGACGAGCAATTCATGAATTAAATCTACAGGGTGTCACCAAATAAGTTTCCATCCTTTAAATAAGAAAAACCATGGGTTCAACTGACCAATTTCAATTTACGTTGGTTAATCTACTTTAAACTTAATACTTACAGATCCAAACTTGAAGGCTATCAGAGGACGAACCAAATCGAACCAGTTTGTGATTTTCTTGCCGACCAAGTCTGGTAATATTACCATCAGTGAGTTACCTATACTGCGAACTATCATATCAGAGCTACAAAGAAATAACTACAAATAAAAATCATTATTATTTACGTGGTTCTTACCCAAAAACAATACAGAAAGGAAATATTTCGAACAAAACTGCAGCACTGATGGGCAGATGTTTTTCCTCCCTTGTCATTGCCAGAGAGGCTAGAGTAAATGCTCTGTTATCGAAAGTTAGTTGGAAAGTGACATGCACCATATCAAACAGTAACTCTTCCCTAACCAATTCAATCTTCATTTCTTTGTGATAAAAATGCTTTGCGACCTGAAAAACACACAAATGGAAATCAGGGTCCCAGTATGGCTCCTTGAGGCACTCACCTCTCTGATCTGCCCCATGGTGTAGTAAACGAAACCTCTTCTTTTCGATCTGTAGTGCAATGTAAGACCCTGTCTTGTTTCGTTTTCGCATATGAAGCTCGGAGCCCTCATCCGTGGGTACGAAAATTTTAAGTACTCGTGTAAGTTGTCCAAGCCGTTCAAAAAGTCGCGCATGTGTCGGCCTAGCACTGATAAAACCCGGTCGTACCCGTACTGACTCACGAAACCGATGAAAAATACGCCCATCTGGTCGAAAAACTCCTTTTCGCTTACATTGAGAATCTGAAAATAAAGAAGTGGACACACCATACGGCTAACCGACACTGATGAGGTCAAGTATATAGTCCATATTGCATTATAATTTGTCCATGTATTTTGACCCTCTAAACACGAAAATCACACTCAATTTTTTTATGGAAGCGTTTTTAAAATATGAATTTTCAATTTTTTTTTCAATTTTCGGAGGTGTTTTGACGTTTTTGAGTATAGCTTGAAATCTAATTAAACGATTTGGTCAAACAACCCCTTAAATTAAAGGTTTTAAAGCCCTCTAAAACTTCCTTTTACATATTTTTGATATCTGACATTTTTACAAAATAAACAAGCTAATGTTGATAAAAATACATGGAAAAATGGCGAAGTTATGAATTCAGCTTTTTGACGATTTTTAATTTATTTTGTTCTTTTATTTTGTAATATGTTTATTCCTTAATAAAAACCTAAGTAAAGTGCATGATTGAAATTATTTGAGTTTTTAGGTACTTTTTTCACCGAAAACATTCTTCAAAATTTAAATTTGACATGACTCCACAAACGTGAATTCTTTTGTTTCTCGTGTTGGTATAGTGCTATTTTTTGATATTTCAACAAGGTATTTTTATCATGGTTTTATTTAGTTAATAAAAAGTGTAAAATGAGTAAAAGAAGTAGAGTTCGAGTGCGTAAATAACCCGGACAATCTGGGTGACGTAAGTGATGAGCACGGAGAACGTTTTCACCAGCAAATGAAGGCTATGGAGCGGCGGTATCACGGCTTCTGGGATGCACCCATGATGGGTGATTACATTTGGTCCCTCATACGAGAAACGGAATACGAAAGCAACAAAAAACAAAATAAAACTTTCAATATCTTCAATGTTCAATATTCAATATATAATTTAATTTCAATATTTAATGTTAAAATAAAAACCAATGTTCAATATTAAATTTTATATAATTCAATAAAATAAAGAAAAATCATAAATATTCTCGAAAAACTGAATTTTGCTATTTCACTGAAAAATTCATAACTTCGCCATTTATCCATGGATTTCTATCAACAGCAGCTTATTTTTTTTCTTTAAGTATAATCTATACGAAAAATAAATCAAACTGGACTTATCTTTTCGATTTCTATCTTTCCCAGAAAGATATGTAAATTTTCAACCTCGATTTTTGTAAAAAAAGGACTTTTTCAACTTCATAAAATCGCCAGTATCGAACTACTGAGCCCATACCAAAACTAAACAAAAGAAAAATGTAGAGGGCTCAATTACCTTTGATTTAAGTGCTTGTTTGGTAAAATAGATCAATTAGAACTCGAAGTATACTCTAAAACGTCAAAACACCTCAGAAAATTAAAAAAAAAAAACATTTGAAAATTCATATCTCGAAAACGCTTCCAAAAAAATTTTAAGTGTGATTTTCAGAAAAATTGATTTTTGCATAACTTTTGGATAAAATTATAAAATACAAAAGTAAATTTTTCCGAAAATTTCCCAATTTTTCTTTTGGGAAAAAACCTACTCGTTGCCCTGTAGATAAAAATAGGCTCGTCACTGACAAGGTTTCTATAAACTTGAGTAAATAAAAATTTTAAGAGAATTAATTCTCCTAAAATGACACATCCTTAAGGAATAGCCTGCATTGCATCTCCCAACAAAAAAACGTCAAAAATATACGTTTTCTGTGTCAAAAACCAATTTTATTATTTTATTTTTCTATTATGGGAAATACTTGTTTGTAAAGAGCATGTTAAGGATGTAATGTTATAAATTGATAATGAAATTCGACCTTAAAGAAGGTTTGTAATATTTATAACACATACAAACTAATTTAACAATTTTCATGTAGAGGACGAGGAAAAACCTATAATAAATCGTAGAAATACAGCAGCGGTTTTCCCATCGAAAAAGATCGAGTTGGACGAGGCCCTAAAAAAGGACGAGGAAATCGAAAATAAACGTGACAGAAAAAACAAGAAGATGGAAGTTAAAAATACTGTCGTGAGTGTTAGTGCAAATGAAGAAGAGGCAAAGGACTTAGAAGGTATGCTTATATATAAACGTATAATTATTTTTGTTGTATGTGTATTTGTTGTAGATACTACATCAAGAAAGGTCAGGGTTGAGAAAAAGACTAGAAAGATGCGAAAAGTGGAATCAATGTTGGAAAAAGGATACGCTGGGAAACCTCAAAGTAAGAGGGAAATCCTCAGGCAGAGGAGAAAGAAAGAAAAGGCACTTCAAACCTTTAAAGAGAATGTTAATAATAATAATAATAATAACCTAAACTTCCAACATATAAAAATTGTATTTTTAGATAAAATATTGGCAGAAACCTAGCATTACGTACGCGATGAGTATGTGCAAGGAAATTCTGGAAATTCTAATGGGGACAACAATAACCAGTGCGATGTCCAGAACCTACATGGAGAGACTGAAAGTGCGTATCCTTGAACACTACTTGGAAATGATGACCAGAAGAGTGAAAATGCGGGAGGAAAAGGAGTACAAAAGAGCAAAACATTTAATACTAACCGGGCAATTGCCGTTTTCCCAAGCTCCAGAAGAGATGAACGATCACATAGTGATTATCCTGGAGAATTATTGCAACGAGTTGATAGAGAAAAGACGCGCCCATTACAACTTGATAAAACCGAAAATTCCCACCTACTTATATTGGGACGATACGCCTGATCCGCCGTTCAGGTTGTCAATTGAGGTGGGACACAAATTTAGGTCCAAGGAGGAGTGTCTTTGCAAGGATATCGATCACTTCTTGTATGAAGATTTGACGGACTACATGTTTGACGAACAGGAGCTCAAACGATTGAAATACGCCGACATAAACATTAGAAAATTGGCCCATTTAACTATTGTGTCCCAGATATACGATTTTGCGGACATTATTATGCAAAAAGACCTGCCGGAAATGGGCTACAAGCCCAAATCCCAGATGGTGGTTATTGAGGACACCGATTCGATCTTCACCGTGGTTTATGAAGATGATGAAGAAGACGATGAAGAGGAAGAACACGAAGAAGCGTAATTTTTAAGGTTATTTTTACTTATATGTAATATATTTTAAATCTGTATTGGTTATTTTTTATATCCCTATGCGTTTCTAGTGTTGCAGTGGATTGTCCCGACATCCCCATACAAACAAACGTCAAAATGTCAAAATTTCGACATGCATGTTTTTGTAAAGAATTTCAGGAGGAAACGTTTTTAAATTAATAATGAGATTCGACGAATCCCAAATAGGTTTGTATATCACAAGAAAAATTCATTTTTAAAATTTCATCATCTAGATAACGACGAGATTGAAAAACACACCAGGAGTCGTAGAAACACTAAAATGGTTCTTCCATCGAAGAAAATTGAGTTGGACAAGTCTCTAATAGTAGACGAAAAAATAGAGCGGAAACGTAACCGGAGGAAAACAAAGAAGAAGTATACGAAGAAAGTTGAATTTGAATTCAAAGATGTTGTGGGAAAAATCAAGAAAAAAAGCAGTAAAATGCAAACTTATAAAGCAGAAGTAATTATCAATTCTATGTATATTTTATGTATATGTGTGGGATTATCCCTGATAGCAAAATTTGATTCTAAGAATCTTCTAAGAAGATATGACTCGAAATAATGGAATATTCTTAGAACCTTCCCTTATTGCTAAGAATGTTCTTAGGGACTTTTAAAACATTCAATAGATACCCTTTTAATGATGCAATTAGATTCTTAGAAGCTTCCTAAAAAGCAATCTAAGAACATTTTAAGAATACGTTTTTGGAATGTTCTTAGGTTTCTTATGGAGCTTCTAGGAAGCTTTTGAGAATATTTCCAAATATGTCAGATACCTACGTTCTAATATGTTGGATTCTACATTCGTAAAATTCTTCAGGAAGCGACAAATACGCCTCACTGTCATACTATGACAGTGAAATGTATTTGTCGTCCCCTTAAAAAAAATTGCGACATATTAATATATATTTATTTAAAAATATTAAATAAACAATTTGACCTCTGAACCATAAGTTGTATGACATTATTTCATAAAAAGTCAGATTAGATAGTTAGGATTATTATACATAAAAATGTTAATTCAAATTGATAAATATTTATTTTTAACATAAAATAAAATATAAAAAAACAAAATATTTCCTTATAAAATAATTCTTCATAAAAGAAAAAACCAAATAATTCTTCATAAAAAAAAATTTTTCATTGTTTTTAAGTTGGATAGAAGATTTTATGTAAAAGCCGGATAATTTAGAAACCTATAGTAAAAGTATTTTTGTTATCGAATATTGTTTAATTTGACAAATAACTATAAAAAAATATTTTGGGTTGTGTTTTTTACTTAGTATTACCAAGTATAGGTACCTTTATACGTAGATTATGGTATATTTTACTATTATATAGGTACCTAACTGAACTGAATATGCTTAACAGAATGTTCCAGGAATATTCCTAAATGAACTTTCTATAGCAATTACTTTCTCAACATTCTAAGCATATGTTTAGAGTGGATTAATTTTTACCACTAAACTTTGCACCTTCTAAGAACCTGCCTATAGGCCAGTTAGAATATTCTTAGGATCATGCTATATGTCTTTTAAGCATGTTCTTTAGAAGAAATATAGCATGATCCTAAGAATATTCTCACTGGAAGGTTTAAAAAACATTCTTAGAACATGACTAGAAGAAATATAGCATGATCCTAAGAATATTCCCACTGGAGGGTTTAAAAAACATTCTTAGAATAAACTGTGCTATCAGGGATTGGGGTCTGTGGATCATACACCTAACTGTAAAACTGTCTGTAGGTAAAGTGGTGGCAAAAGGCGAGCATGTCATACTCGATGTATCAGGTGCGTGAGACCATGGAAAAGTTGATGGGATCAAATACGGTAACAATTTTGGACCGCGCCTACATGTTGAGACTGAAATGTCGGATACTTGAATACTTCGCGGAAATAATGCAAAAGCGTATAAAGGAAAAGGAGGGCGGCGAGTATCAAAGAGGAAAGCATTTGGTTTTGACCGGAAAAATTCCGTTCGAAGAAGCGCCGGAAGCGATGGCCGAGCATCCGGTTATTATACTGGAAAACTATTGCAATGAGTTGATAGAAAAAAGAAGAGCTATGTTGCAGCTAAGGAGGCCGAAAATACCCAATTATCTGTACTGGGACGATACGCCGGACCCACCGTTTAGATTATCCATCGAAATGGGTCATAAATTCAGGAGCAAGGAAGACATTCTCTGCAAATTAATCGATATGTATCTTCTTTCGACCGAAGAGGAAGACATCGCGAACGGCATCATTTTCGAAGAACACGAATATAAACGTATGAAGTACGTGGATCTACTCGTGAGAAGACTAATGGCGAAGATGGATGTGATGGAAGTTTACGATCTAGCTGACGAGATCATGAAGAAAGATACACCGGAGGTCGTAGCTGCTGCTTTGAGGCAGGCTAGAAGAGAGGCCGGCTTCGTTAGCAATTTGGAGCTAGCAATGAAACTTGAAGACGATGAGGATGATGAGGATGAAGAATATGAAGAAGAGGATGAAGGTGAAGAAGATGAGGAAGGGGGGAGGCGAAAAATGAGTAAGGACAGTAGGTATAGCTCAGTCGATGAAGAAAAGGCGGAAGATAGTAAATAATAAAGTGTATAAACTGAAAGCTTGTTTTATTATCGTATTTGTTTTTCCGAAGAAGTTCCTATTTGTTAGTTGTAATTATCAACCAAAAAGGTCAAGAAAATAGGTGCCCGTTAAAACTAAAATTCCAAAAGTTGATGATGTATCGATTCGATATTAACCACGATGGATGAAGATGATTATGAGGAAGAAGATTTTACCTGGATGGCTTTTTTTGAGAGTCGTGGTATTAAATTTTCAGGATAAACCTGATGAGTGCTGAAACTTGGCTGGTCTACGCCTGCGGCTCTTCGAATTTCCTCCCATTTTTCCTCCCCGTATGTTTGTTTTATGTACTCGGCCATATTTTCTATGATTAATCCGTACATGGTGCATTTGTCTGAAAAAGAAATTATTATAATTATTTTAAAACTCAATATTTTAGGGATAACATTTTATGACTAAAGATGTGGTGGATGGCACTTTGTGTTGCAGTGTGCCTGAACGAAGTTAAGTCACATAAAAATGCCGCCAAAAACTGATTGCAGTTTCTTGTTCGGGATCCTTTGGTGTCTTAAAAATGATATTTACCAAAATCCTAGCTGCTCTTTTTGAAATTTTTTGAAAATTCATGATTTTTTTTTTATTTTTGTTTATTTCAAAGTCTACCTTTGACAGAGTACACATTTGTACACCGATTTTTATAAAATCAGTATATTATTGAGGAGACTTAAAGAATACTTTTTAATACTGTTCACATCATTTGATATATACAGGGTGAGCCAAAAATCGCTTATTTTTAATAAAGCAAAACGTAAATTCATGATTTTGGCATAACACGCAAAAAAGATTTATCCCTATTTTATTTTAGATATTTCTACGTTTATCAGGTTACAAAATGGCATTCTTATTAACCTTTTATAATATTGGAGTATATTGTTAACGAGACTTGGAGAATACTGTTTTCATACTGAGCACATCATTAGATTTATACAGGGTTAGCCAAAAATCACTTTTTTTATATAGGGTAATTCCATTTATGAGCCACCAATGAGTGCACCTCATATACTCTAATTTTATTTCTTTTTTAACTGTAAATAGACATGAACCCAAAAAGTGAAAAAAACTCCCCTTTTCTTTTCTCCCCCTATCACCTATTTATACAGGGCTACGCAAAAGTTACTATGCAGACCTAACTTAAAAAAAATTGTACTTTTTTTGCTAATAAAGCTATCGACATTAAACAAACTGTTAATTGTTAAGAAAATATTTCTCTTTTAAACCATATAGGACACATTTAGTTATTGATGCCCTAAATGGTCTTTGGGAATTTTTTAAAAAATGCAATGCAACAATCGTATTGAGTTTCAATTAAGGTTATGTTTTCAAAATACCGGTAAATTTTCTTTAGTTAAATATTTCTGTTTTTTTTTTAATAAATCCAATTCATGACATTATTCTCCATTTTTGCATATACATAGGTACAATTAAATTCATTGAAATATAATTATGAATAAAGTAATTTAATTCTTATTATAACAATTAATTCATAAATATGTACGTGTCTAACTCAAGTTGTGTAATTAAAAGACCCTTTTGTGAATTCAAATTACTATTACATGTTCCCATTGACGCAAACAGAGGCTTCCTCTTCCCCTGGATGGTAATTAATCATTAACTCGATTGATTATTAATTTCAAATTGTTTTGATTAAATATTTGGCAATGAACTTGTGCTTTTATCCGTCACAGTATTTAATTTAAAAGTATATTATGGATTAAGTTTGATATACGCCATTTTAGTCATCAAGCCATTATGAGCTTGAGAGCGAGTGTTTGATTAAATGGGTGTCTAAAAAGTTTATAAACGACTTTTTCTACGACAAATACTTAATTATCTAAAAAATAATATAAAAGAAATATTTGTATTAAGCGACATCTATAAAACAATAGAGTAACCATTCTAACTTCAAACATTGATTAATACGTCACTCAACGCTAGTATAATACACAGCTTCTTTTAATTAAGAGTTTTAATCATTGTCTTATAATAAAAAATAAACTTTGTCTATTTCAAATAATACAAATTTATTTTTAATTTTTTTACTTAAATGCTATCTACTTTTTCAAAAACACGTTCAATACCATCTGATCTTAGATATTTAGAAACAAAAATATTTTCAAACATATTGATTCCAAGAAATATGCCATAGTAGGTATGTATATTCATGAAAAGAATAATTTATAGACATTTTCGATTTTGTGTATAAAATATCGGCGAATATTTTATTGAAAGCGCAGTGTAGAATGTAAATTTTTGCGAGATAAAACGACAAGTCATTTCAATATCTACCTACATAAATTTTAATCTGAACATGGGAAAAATATTTCCATGTCATTTAAAAAGTATTGGGAATAATAATATAATTATAATTTACTTTAATTGATAAAACATCAATAATATTTCATTTTAGTAAAAAAATTATGTAAGTAAAGTTCTTTTTTTATCTGAAATGCGGCAACGTTGCAAATTTAGGGTTTTGGTTGGTAAATACAGTTGTCAAGTTGATTGATTAAAAAAACTAAGCTAGTTATAACTCTAATTGTGGTTATACATATATGTATAAATTCTCTGTGTATAAATTATTGTAGGTTACATTGTGCAGTTGTCAAGTTGAGTTGTCGAAATTCGTAGTTAAAAATGCAATTAATTTGGCTTTGGTGGTGCTTGGATGAGTAAAATCATATAAAAAAGTAGTTAAATATAGGTTGCTTTACAGCCCAGAAGAGAAAGTATTCCTAGCGGATAATAATCTTCGTTTTGAAAAGAATTTATATAAAAGAAATTAAATTTATTTATAGGGCGATTTACTTATTCTGCCATTGAGGCATTTGGCATAACTTTATCGAAATTAAGTTTTGCCCTTTTACTTTAGAATCTGATATTATTTTTATATCGATGTTATACAGGGTGTCCGGGAAAAGGAGGTCAATCCGTTAACCATATATTCCTTGAGTTAAAACAATAAGACTTTCATAATACCATTTTTCAATTTAGAGCTTCATGTTCGATATACAGGGCGACAAAGTTTGAAATTTAAAACTGACTTTTTTTAATAATTCGAGTAATTGATAAGATACTAAGTTTAAATTCGGTACACTACTTCAATATAAATAGTTACATTTTTTGAGACCAACAAAACAAAAAACAATTGTCAAATAATCAAAATAGGGGGGTCCAGTACTCACTGACTCCCCCTATTTTTTAGTACGTGCGCCAATGACTTCCAAACGGTATTTTTTCAGGTAATCATTTATTGTTAAAAAAAATTTGTCTCTTATAAAATTTTGATAAAATGATTTGTTTTAGAGATAATTTGTAAAGTATGGGTCAGTCCATATCAAATCAACCAAAGGTTCTTCCCCCACCATCTCCGATTTTGATCATTTTTGGTAAATTTGTTTTTTGAAAATCAAAAAAATTCCGATAAATTTGGGTCTTGCAAGTACTTACAAAAATAGCGATATCTCGTAAACTATTAAAATTAGAAAGGTGAGTGATGGCTTATTTTAAAGGCCTATTAGAGAACTTGTTTATGATATATCAAATGACCTACATTTTTTTCAAAAAAAAATTAAATTTTGAAAATTTGATATGGACTGACCCATACTTTACAAATTATCTCTAAAACAAATCATTTTATCAAAATTTTATAAGAGACAAAACATTTTCAACAATAAATGATTACCTAAAAAAATTCCGTTTGGAAGTCATTGGCGCACGTACTAAAAAAAGGGGGAGTCAGTGAGTACTGGACCCCCCTATTTTGATTATTTGTCAATTGTTTTTTGTTTTGTTGGTCTCAAAAAATGTAACTATTTATGTTGAAGTAGTGTACCGAATTTAAACTTAGTATCTTATCAATTACTCGAATTATTAAAAAAAATCAGTTTTTAATTTCAAACTTTGTCGCCCTGTATATCGAACATGAAGCTCTAAATTGAAAAATGGTATTATGAAAGTATTATTGTTTTAACTCAAGGAATATATGGTTAACGGATTAACCTCCTTTTCCCGGACACCCTGTATAATAATTAAATATAAATAAATATTTTTGTCAATTTGACAGTATCAGAGTATTTAATTAAGGTCTTCAGCAGTAGCAGAATTGTGAGCAGATGTACCATTTTTTAAATACTAAAAATAATAAATCAAATTGGCATGCATAAGCTACCTTGGTTGCACCTTAATAAAAAAACACGAGTACAATAAAAAAAAAATTGGTATATATATATGGTATATATGGTATTACAGAAAAAACTTTTTTTATATATATATGAACTTTAATTAAACATTTAATTATTAATTTTAGATTTTAATAACATAAAACTTTTGGGACCGCTTTGTATCGCTACATTTATGTTAGCTTGGGTTTATTGGCAATATATTTTGCCCAAAACTTCGCAATACAAAAGCTAGAAAAGAAAGAAAAACGTGACATTAACTTCTGACTGGAATATTAAAGAACTTTTTTAAGAAAACACTTAAGGAACAGCATACTTTAAATTCGATTTTCTTCTAACCTAATCCCAAATGTTATTTTAGCATTTTAATCAACATTTAAATTTGTCCTTTGAAACTGACCTACAAATTACCCAGGTAGCACAACGTAACGAAATCTTGACGTAAACAAGACGTTTTCAGTCAGTCGTGACTTGGACGTTATTTAAAAATCGTAACGTTTTCAATTAAAAACAGTTGCCAAACCGCGCTAAATTTAAGCATAGTTTTTGTGACGAATACGTTACATTAATATGAATAAAAATCTTCACGATGTAGTTAAGAATACGCCACGGATTCTTCACGATGATTTGTCACGGTTTCGTCACGACGCTTCGTTACCGAATAGTGAACTGAACTGGTCACGTAATTGTGACGTATAGTTGCATTATTTGCGGGTGTAATAATATTGTGTAGTGTAATGCAGTGCAGTACGGTATAGTGGGTTGTTTTGTGTATTGTGGAATTATTGCTTACCTTCAAAGTTTTGTAATTTGATTTCAACCTCATCATCAGGTTGAAATCAAATTACAAAACTTTGAAGGTAAGCAATAATTCCACAATACACAAAACAACCCACTATACCGTACTGCATTACACTACACAATATTATTACACCCCCAAATAATAATATTGTTTAGTTTTGCAATGTTAATTCAAAGAAAGCACATTTAACTGAATTAATTATATTTTATTAGAAAAACAGTAAAAACATATTCTACAATAAACTATAATAATATATATTATATGTATAAAAACACTAACAAAATAAAAAAATATTTCTCTTATAAAATAAAAATACACTTTTGAAAACCAGCAATAATTTCAATTAGGTAGTTT